TTTTTATTTAAAAGGTTCGTTTTGTTGTTTTTTTAATAAAAAGAGAAGCAAACGAATGGTACGTTTCTCCCCTCAAACAGCTTCTTGTATTCACTTGCTGGATTCTGGAAAAAGTGACCTAAAAATGAATGTTCTGTAATGGACAATTAACTACGAAGCAAAACAATCATTGGTGATAAGGTAAATAGGGTTATTTTACAGCTTAAGCTGCTAAGTCACATTTTGTCTGAACTACACATTTGCACTTTGGGGCATGACTGCGTGAGGCTTTTTATTTTGGACACCTGCACATCTGCTGGTGCCACCTTATGCTGTAGAAACGTGTAAAGTTCTGCTACTTAAAAGCATAATACAACTCCTCATCTCTTTAAAAGCGAGCAATTTGACGATAAACGCTGGAATGTTTTTGTATTAAAAAAAAAAAAAAATTCTTAGTAAGATGCAAACCCAAAAGCCTGAATCTATTCAGATTTCCAAAGTAAATTAAAACTGTTCTTCCTGCCAAATCAAAACCTGTTTATATACTTGGTAATTACTTTCACAGCTTAATGCTTTACTTATTCGAAAGCTTAAAAATGTTCAGAGTGTTTTTCTTTCATTTGTTTCCTTAAGTTAATTAGAGCATTATCATTTTTTATTTAGTAAGTGGAAAACTTTAAAAAGTGAGCAAAAGCATAACGAAATCTTCTAGTATGATTGCTCTGTGAGCATCTTGTAGCTTAGCCTCTGAGAGCAATTTAAAAAGGCAGCAAGCCTTTACATTACATTTTCCTCTCTAACTTCTCTTCTTTAGGGTGATGGAGAGCAAGTGTCTAAACCTCTTAAACCAACCTAATAAAACACCCAAGTTCATATAAAATTTTGTATTCTGAAATATTAGACGTATTTTTTCTTGCTAGTGAACATCCAAGGAAAGTGGCCTACTCACTATATGTGCACATATTCTGATGTTTGATTTTTGGCTGATCAATTCTGTTATATTTTTCATTTTAGCTGCCTTGGCTTCCCTTCCCTCTGGCCAGAGGGATTATGCTGAGGGTGCTGGGTGAGGTTTTCTGCAGCAAGGTCCCCGGATTTTGCTGCCACGAGGCTGCTTCAGAGTTGACTGAGGTGACGGTACTTGGTATGATTGTTTGCATTTAACTCCAAGTAGCTGCAGAATTATTTGGAAAAAAACATTGCTAGGGGTAGAATAAATTATTCTGGAAACTCTCTTAACATGAATGACCTCCTATATGACTAATGCCCAATTAGAAACCAAATTAGATGGAAATGTGTAGAACAATTAGCCAGGCCCATAAATGGTGCTGTGAATCACGTCTTTAGCCGTAACCTCTTTGCAAGATACTCTTTACAAAATCTAATTGCCTCACTAATGTTTGCAACAGCAAAAATGTCTCCACCAGTTCACAGTTTGCATTAGGTGATGCAATGGGGATGACTCTTGGCTCTTCCTCACCAAGGAACAAAGCAGATCTGTTGCCCTTCCTGCTACCCTGAGGTCAAAGTAGGTGAGAATAATGTATCGCGTCTCTTCTGAAATATTATGGTTTGAGGCTCAGACACCAAATTAAACTTCCAATCATTAAGGTGAAACTTATCCTTTATTCTGACAGGGGATGTTTTTCTGGATACTTCTAAGATGTGTGTGTTTTCTGAAGGGTCAATGTAAGGCTAAGCTTTGGCCCTGGTCCTGTTGCAGTCAGAGGGTGAGGACCACCACCTGGTCCCACTGTAGAGGAGTGAGTGTGCCCCTGACTCCCTCAATCTTCTCCCTCCATAGAGGCTGTTTGTAGTAGTGCATCTCCTTTGCATGTTTCTGATGGTGGCAATCAGGAGCCCATCAGGATGAAGCCACCTGCCCAGTGTAGGAGAACAAGTGAATTTCAGATCTAAAAAGCACCAACCCTTCCCCTGGGGAGAAGGGTGCCTGTCACCAGTGCTTCTGATGGGCAAGCGATTACCTGGTGGACGACACACTCACCTCTGTGCTCAGTGTCTCGTTTACAGCTAAGGGGAGTTGAGTTTTGGGGGTGGAGGGTTGGGTGGCTGCTTTGTGATTTTAGTGTGCTCAGAGTTGGAGCCCACCCCGTGGGTTTCAGCTGAGCAGCTGGTCAGGGTTAGGTCACAGCTCAGGAAACAGGCAGGGAGGGAGAAGGAGCAAGCCTGCACAGAGGGAGGCAGCACTCGTGCTTAAATCTCATTTTTTTTTCCACAAAGCTACTGCTGTAATAGGATTTGCTGCTGTTGCTGCTGCAGCTAAGCTTGCAGTAAGCGCAGTAACCATGACATGGAGCTGCTGGTACAGTTAAGACATGATGATATAATGGAAGAAGAGTATTGAATCAAGGTTTTCAGGCAAACTTAATCTTCTCCATTTCCTGATTTTTTTTTTTTTTGAGGACATTACCTTAATATCTCTTTGTGTGTTTCATTGTGTAGGAGTCCAATCCCATAACCACAGCGTTCCTAATACGTAAGTGCTGCTTGTACAGCCTGAGCAACTTTGCTGACAAATGAATAAAACAGCAGCAGCATCTCTGGGATGTGAACACGCCGTTTATCCTGTGCCTTGGGGTCTCCTGTCTGCTCCAGGCTTTTTGGCAATGGCCAACTTGTTCCATCATGTGAGACCTGGTAAAGGAGAACCCAAGTGGAAGATGTCCCGGGAGGTCGTGGCAGCTTATGGCACCTCTCTCCTTCCTCCCAAAGCGGAGGGCAGCCCTCGATGCAGCCAGTTCCTGAGACTCACCCTCGTGACTTTCCTTGGATCTCGAGGGTCATCCAGGGCCCTGACTACCACGTGAATTGGAGACCTCGTCTTTCCTTCTGGGCTCACCGCAGTTTTGCCTCTGGAGTTGTGTGCTCTCATTGTGGGTGTGTTTATCACTGGGTAAAAGCCACGAGCTGGTTTTACATCTGCCTGTGGGTGCTACCTACGTCTGCAGCTCCAGCAGGTGTGAAAACAGAATACTCATATAGGCTGGCAAAACAATGCCTGTAAACATTTAAGATAGAGAAAAATTTTCAATAATGATTGTTTTTGCCTGCTTTCAGGCTTTTCATATTTTATATGTAAGGCTTTTTCTCCTCGGTGCTTTCAGGTTTGCTTACCTTTTTCCTGTGGTACGCTACAATTGCTTGCTGTGTTTGCATCCCTTTTTGGTGTGTACAGTTTAATTTAGGAGGGAGAAGCGCTGGTGGTTGTTCTGCTTCATTTCTGAAAGCACTCCGAGTTTCTAGGCTGTGTAGAAAACTGTCAGTCACTCGCTGTAGGTACACAGCACCCCACCCACAAAGCTCCTTCCAAGTCCTTGCTCTTCAATGGAGCCAATTGTTTCACCGTGTTTATAACCAGTGCTATTTCTGGACCATTTCCTAAAAGCTGACTGTTTTAAGGCCTACCCACTTGGCGGTTTGGCTTTCTGCTCTGACATATTAAAGTACAAGAGCCAATTTCCATGGGTGTATGTTGCAGCAACTGGTGCCTGGGCAGGTGGGACCTGGGACATCTCCTGCAGCCTGGGGCTCACATCCCCCAAGCTGGGTTGGCTTTGGAGCTCGAGGGGTGTGGGTTTGGATGCAAACCTTCCAGCAATGGAGGCAGCATCCAGGCTCTGTGTGACTCTGGATGCAATTCAATGGACGAAATGGTGAATCTGGATGAAATTCAAGCTGCCCCTGGACTGTCTTACTCTAAATGCAAAGCAAGACTTTTTGCAGTAGGAGGACTTTTACATGACATCTCGTCCCTCAGCTGTCCAAGGTCATCAGTCTCGCCCTGAAATGCCTGTTCCTCTCCTCTGCCTGTAGAAGAGAACCCTACTTATTTACGCTCCCAGCTGTTGTTTGGCTTGCTGATCTTCACAGATCTGTGACTCTTCCCTGCATACAGTGGCTACTGAGATGGAGAGTTGTGTCTCTGCTATTTGCAAAAGGAGAGATAGATAGGTCAGATACTGAAGTGGGGTTCAGTACTTAAGTAGGGGCTGGATCAAAGAGAAAATCTATAAAAATAACAATGCTTGGAGGTGCTCCTTCCCTTTGAGGGTTGCCAATGCACCCTGCCAGTGGTCTTATCCCCCAGGCTGAGGTGGGGAGTGCTTTCTTCTCTTAGCAGGCAAGAGCAGAGGTGTTTGGGAGCAGTTCTTTGCTGCTGTTGTACATCCTCTCCTCTTTCCTCCCAGCCATCGCAACTCCATCTGGCTCTGCTGTTGGGTTTGGGGACGTCAGAGCAGCCTCGATGGGCTGCACTGCCCCAGACCTGAGAAAGGAGGAGGTGGAGCAAGGACAGAGGGGAAATGTGGACTCTGGCCTTCAGGAGGCCAAAGAAACAAAGAGGAGGACTGTGATAAGCAAAGACGAGGAATCTTCCAGAGACTGATGCAAACCCTCAGCTCCTCCCTCTGCTAAGGACAGCGCTTCTTTTTCTTTGGCTTCTAGAAGGAAATCCATAACTCATATTGTACAGTAAAGAGAAGCATGAAGAGAAATGTTAAACGCAACCCTGAAACTGCAAGGTCAGGCATGGCATCCTGGGTCCAAAAATGATGTCAGGAGCAAAGTTGCCTTTCCCTGTGCTCCTCCCAGCTTCAGGAGAGCAGTCTATGAAGAATGGTGCCTGGCAGGAGAGGAGTGGTGTGAAAATAGAGAGCAAGATAGATATGAGCGAGAAATCTGCTGAGAGCAACTTGTTGTTCTCTAGATTTTGACAGATCGACTCCTTAATGTTCTCATGGGGAACATCCTTCAGAATCGATCTCCATGGCTGTTTTTCAGCTTTGCGCTCCATGCAGAGAGCTGGTCCAGCTATAGCACCTGCATCTTCCCCAGAGCTCAGCATCGCAAGGACCTGAGACCTTCACATCACCCCCCTGTAGATCCCGGCCTCCCCTACAAGACCACCGTTTATTTCTCTGACCACACAGTTGCATTTTAAAACCTTAGAAGAGAAATGCAAGGAGTGGGAGAAGGAAGCAGTCTGACCACACTGACTCAGCTCCATTCCTTCAGCAAGCTATATATATATTTATTTCGTATTCATTTGAACAGCAGAAAGTTTGGCAATAATGACAGCCTGGGAAGTATGCACTGTGTGTGTGCTTTTGACCCCTCCGGCTTGGCTCTCCCACGCGATGTTCTGAAGACCCACCACTGTGCTGTTTTTAAGCAAAGCAACAAATCAAAATTTGTCTCACTACGAGTCCCGTTGGGATGCCCTCTGTCTGGCCATGCTAGGGACGTGTAACCCGAAGGGCAGGGCCAGTACCAAGCGCTGGACTTCAAGGAGCCACTGATGCATTTCAGCCAGCAGTCAGCAAATCAATGTCAACGAGGCTGTGTTCAGCTGTCAGGATGCTCTGCAATCCTTTCCCATTGTTCCTATTTCTTTATTTATTTGTTTTAACCCTTTTCTCAGCAAAAATTTACCAAGGCCTGATCTTCAGCTGGAGGCAACTCTACAGGCACAAACTGTACTCAGCAGGTTTGTGTTTGCCAAGCTGTGTTTCCATCACTGAAACAAGCTATATGACTCCTGAAGTGGCTAAAGTCAGACTTCTCAGGGTTCATTTTTGATAGACAGTTGTCTTTTATATGGCAGCATATTCCCTAGTAGCTTTACATTTTTGTTATTTACCTAATTACTTTCACCTTCTACTTCCAATAATGCATTTGACTGAGTATGCTGCAACTAATCACTGCTTCCTCCTTTGTACAGGAGCTTAAATAAAGCTTGTGGTGGGATTTTTTCAAAAGGTCAGATGCTGGGGTTAGTTCTGCTACTGAAGTCAGTGAAACATTTTCTTCTGACTGGTGAGAAAAGGGTCAAAAACCGGGGGATGCTTTTGGGAAGGACACCCTTCTTCTCAGCATGTCAGCCCATTAAGCAGAATGGTACCGGGCTGGCAAGCCCAACAGTGAAATTAACACCCTCTGCTCTCTGAGACAGGACCAATCCCCAAATTGGAATTGCAGGGGAGCAAAGCCGGAGGAGAAGGCACAGACTGGCATTGCCGGTGTCCCAGCAAGGTTCGGCGAGGTGGGAACGGAGACTGCAGAGCGACAGCCCGGGTGGCTGAAACGCCCAGGCTGTCGCACTGGTTCTTCGCCGAAACCACCTCGTAAATTCCCTGTGTACAAAAATATATCTATGGATCATGCCTTAGGGGGAAGGATGCGAACGGGGCTGGATGCGGCCGAGTGAAAGGCAGCACAGCTCCGACCCGACGCCGGGCTGCGGCGGCTGCCCAGGCCATGGTGCTACGTGAAGGTGCGTGTGGGCCCGCGCGTGTGTGCGTGCACGCCTGGGTGTGCACGTAGCCACCCTATAGCCCTACACGGCCCCGCTACACGATCATGAACTGGCAGACGTACGGCAGCTGCTCCTTGCACCTCTTGTCAAACCACTTGCCCACCGCCGCCCCCGACAGGGCCGCGCAGTTTTCCAGCTTGCCGCCGTCGGGCTGGGTGGTGATCTCGGTCTCCCAGTTCTTGTAGCGGACGGGGCCGCCCGTCATGTCGACCCACTTGCCCTCGGATGCCATGTCGTTTAGGCCCATCCAGATCTCCGCCTCGGCCCCGATGCTCTTGCGCATGTAGTCGTAGAGCGCGTCGTTCTCCTCCCCGTTCTGCGGCGTGCCCAGCGTGCCGCCCTGCGAGATGCAGTGCTCGCTGGCCTCGTGGTACGTCTTGCTCTCAGAGAACGCCAGGTAGCATTTTAGGTGAATTTTGGTGCCTTTCAGGCAGACTGGGAGGTGGCCGCACGGACGGGACAGAGAGAGAAGAAGGGAATTGGTTTTAAATTCGGCACTCATCTCTTGGGCAAGCTGTGGTGCTGCCACCTCACACTTATGTCCCATGTAAAAAGGATGCAGCCTCCACATTTGGAAACAGCCCCCCAAAAAGGACCTGGGGGTGCCCATGTCCCTGTCTGTCCTCAGCGTCCCCTCTCCCTGCCTGTTTTCTTCCCGAAATGGGGCTGTGCTTTCTTGCCTTGGGAGGCAACATTTGTCTCTGCTGGGGGCTGGAGTGTTTTGGAAAAAACAGCCTGCAATTCCAATTCAACCATCTCGATTATGCAAGCGTGAAAAAAATGTCTTTTTTTTTTTTTTTTTAATACGTTTTGATCAGAAGTGTTGCGCTTGCATAGCTTGAGGTCTTCAGAGGAAATATCTGCTTGCCTCTGATTTTAATGTTAAGAGCAGCGATTTTTTTAATCTTTAAACCCTGAGAGTGCAGGGTACTCTATCCAAACAATAGCTAATCAGAGCCATTCATTAATATCCAGACCAATTACATCTCAGTGAATGTGAGCCTGGATCTAAAGCCTTGATTTTGCTTGTGTTTCTTTCTTTTAGGGAGGAAATTCTCCCTAACTTGCATTTTTAGCACATCTCTGTAGCATGTTCTGCAAGTCCCTCTCCTGCTGATGTCATGGAGCTTGCAGAGAATAACCATGGAGCGGGGCTGGAAAATGAACATTTTGAGACCATACTGTGTGTGTGTCACTTGAGGTGTTGTGGGACCGACCCCTAGCGAGGTTCCCTGGGCAAGACCAGGGATGTTTGAGGGATCAGGTAACCATCTCACTGGGCTTCAGCCAAAAGACTGCAGCAAACAAAGAGTAAACTGCGTTTGACTGAAGTGCAAAATAATCTATTACCCATCCCGCTGATTCATGGAGGGAAATGAACATCTGGCTTAGTGTCATGGAAATATCAATAGCTTTAGAAATGGGAAGCTCTAGCACATAAAGAAGGGGGCCATATGCTGCACAACGCATGTCATTAACTGCCTGAGGAGCTTCCTCTGCCTGGAGGAACTGCAACAAGGCCATGCATTGCTTTGATCCCCAGCTCTCTCCCTGTGATGGACACCTCGTCATGGAGAACTTGGGCATCCCTTATCAAAATGCATGGAGCAATGGCAACAGCTTTACAAGCAGCTCCTCTCTCAAAGTGAAAGCCGTGCCTTCTTCAAGGAGTCTTTTACCTGTCTGAAGTGCTTGCTTTTCCTTCAGTAGAGCAACCTCCTGAGAGATGTTGTCAATCATGGCCTTCAGGTCTTCAATCATTTTGAGGCTTACACCATCTGTTGGAGAAATCAAGGGAGGAGCATGAACATCTACCGCGTCCCCCAGGGAGGCAGCTGAAGCTGTTCCTATAATCAAAAACCCCCCATTTTCCTGCCTGCAGAGAAAGACAAACGAAAAGCATCCACAAAGCCAACATCTATCCCCTAACACACCCACCAGAGAGAATATTTGCTCGCTAGAGTGGTTGCACCAGCAGCCCAGATTCCTACATTGGCAGGCACACCATCACAGCTGCCTCTGCCTCTGCCCTGGCTGGGGACAGGTACCAAAAAAAGAGCCAGAGCTGGTCTTCTGCTATGAGAAGATGCTTCCTTGGCTGAGGAGTTGGTTGTGGCCTCCTACCAAAGCCTGTGTCTTGCTAGCTGTGTTGCCTCTGGCATTGTAGATGCTCTTACCCAGCAGACCAAGTGCTACTAGGGGCACAATGAGATCACAGAGATACTTTCTTAAGAAAATGCCTCTTTTTCTTAAATAATAGAGACTTCTGAAGACAACTTCCTCTTGGATGTAAAGGACAAAACCTTCTTTGCAACGAGGACCCTGCTTTCCTTGCAGCCTCCTCTGTAAAGCCACTCAGGCTCACACACTTTCCCTACTGCAAGCTACCATGATGTCTCCTAAGACAAGAGATGTGAAGGAGCTGAAAAAGCCTTTGGTAAGATTTTGCTAGGCTTGAACAGCGACCTGTGGCTTAGCACCAGCTAGTCATCAGACCCTGATTTCTCCTGCGTAGGAGCAGAAGGGCCAGTTATGGCATGGAGGTGGGAGGTCAGACACCAGGGAATTTGTACCATTGCACTCTCTCTGCTGCTGCTGCTTCATCTCACCTGGTGTAAGCAGCTGGGAGTCAGAGGGATCAGGAGGAGGGCTTTAAGCTGCCTTACTCCTTGCTCAATTAACTTTAATGGGTCTGGTTAACCCTAAGGCACGAGCTATTATTTTGGTGCCTTTGATGAAAACACTTTGTGGGAAACAGCTCATTAATTAACGGTATTTTTCATCCACGTCTCTCTTGCAGCACAACAAATGTCCCCCAGGTTTAAGTAACATCCAAAGGCCACGGTGAGACACCCTTCGTGAGCCGTGGGGCAGCTCCAGCTGGGTTTGCTGTGCCAGTCTCATGCTGGAGGGCCCCGGCACCCCAGGTGGACACATCTCCTTGATAACTACCCTGTCCTGCTCACTACCAGGTTTCCAAGTCATTGGCTTCCAAGTCATTCCTGCAGCAGCAACTTCACCTGGGGAGAAAATGGATCCAGCAACATTTATTTTATTTATTTTTTTATTTTTTTTTGTGAAAAAGAGTTCATATTTCTGGCAACTCCTTTCTGCTGGTTGATTTGCACTTCAGCCAAAAAGCAAGTGTCATGGCTATATCAGCAAATACTGATTTATATATATATATATAATTATTATTATTTTTGCTAGCAGTATTTTTCTGTGCATTTCTATTTCCTCAAGGCCAGAGCACCCCCACACAGGGTTTGTGTTGCTGGAAATATTCGCAGGCATTTTCTGAGGTCCTTTCCTTACTAACAAGAAGCTATGGGATCACACGAGGATTTGGGGCAGATTCAGGAGCCCGAATCAGTCTCTACCCACAGATTTAAGCGTCTGGACTCCAAATACCTTTAAAATACATGTGAGAGCTGCTCTTTCTGTGCCCTCATGGCCCCTGCTGTGGCCGTGATGAGGGGTCCCCAGCCTGGACCCCCAGAGGCATTGCCCCAGGCAAGGCTCAGGGGGAGTTTGCTGAACTGCTGTGGCTGGAAAAATTGCTGGGCAGCAATCTGAGGGGAGGGGGGAAACACAGGCAAGGCGAACGTGTTATTTCAGCATTTTCGAAATGCTGTGTTTTGGCTTTTTCACATTGAAATGGCACCATTTTTTTTTCTGAAGTGGATCCAAATGCAAGCGATAATTACATCATGTAAAAAAAAGAAGAAGCCCAAGGAAAGAAAAGAGAAAAAGAGAACTGAAGAGGCTTGGCTCGAAGCATCGTTTTCTTTTCTAACACTTGTGGCTTGGCCCTGCAGATTAAAGAGCACGAACCCAACAAAATGCCTGACCCTGCGATGGCCTCCCCCTGCCCAACCCACCCTGGTGAAGGGCTGGGGACAGGGCTGGGGACAGGAGGGTGACATCCTGCCCTTGTCCTGGAGGTGGCGAGGGGCTGGGGGCCAAGAGGAGTCCCTCCAGGGATTGCAAGTGCTTTTTTCCCTCCTTCTGCACCCCCCTGGTGCTTCTCAAAATTGGAAATTTGTTAACCCAGCAGTGCCGAGTGCTTCCAGTAAAGGCAGGGCACCTAACCCACCGCGGGGCTGGATGCGGCCGGCCAAAAAATGCCAGGCTGGTGGGGATTCTTCTTTTCCCCACAGAAAACTTGACCTCTCCTTTGGTGAGAAATCAGGGGGAAAAAATTGCCTCCAGCTGTTTCATATGGCTTGATTTCCAGGGGAAAAAAAATTGTGGCCCCTCAGAAAAAGTGGTTTAGATTGGAGATGGTTTTTCCTGTCCAAGAGGTGATTTTTCTCCCATCACTTGTTTTCTTTTTTTCAGAGAAAAATTAGATTTCCCTAAGAAATGAGCCTCTCTTCTGGCACATCCCAGCAGTGCAATGCAGACAAATGCCCTGAACCCGTCTAGGAGGGCACTTGTGCTGCAGAAGGCAGGCGCGAGGCACCGCCGTGGGCTCGGCAGACACCGAGCGCTTTCATAGAAAGACCCGCTGGGAGAAAATGGAAAAGTTTCTCAAGGACAGGACCCGACAAAAATAGCCGCCGGGAGAGCGTGCGGGGCAGCCCGGCCAAACAAAATTCCTGGGATGCTTCCTCCTTGCTCTCGGGTCTGCTCCAAAGGGCAAAGCCAAGAGCAGGCGACTGCAGCCGGACCCAGCAGCGGGCAGGACCGCACGCCACGGGCTGCAGCATCAGCCTCCTGCTTACCTGCCCTGTCCTCTGCGCTGTGCCACGGGGAGGAAGAAGGACTTGAACTGCTTTAAAACAAAGAGCCCTGCTGCTGTTTTACGGGTGATACAGCGCTGCTTTTGCCTGCCTGCTCCCGGCTGCAAATCTGCAGCAGCTGTCTGGCATCCAGCGCTTAATGTCTCCCCCCAAAAAATGAATGAGTGGAGGTAGGGGTCAGAGAAATGGAGATGTTAGTAACAGGAAAGTCTGGGGAGAACCTTAGGACATGGCAAATAGGGTGCCCTACAAGGCTCAAAACGAATATAGTCAGGGCAGCAACGTGCCCAAACCATTTCAGTATCCTTTACAGAGGGGCTACACAAGCACTCCTATGGAGGGTAGCAAAAAAGACACCCGATTAAGTTTTAAATGCTTGTTTTAAAAGCTTCATCTACACAACTAGGCTAATTGCATCCCCCCCGAGCCAGGCAGGGTCCCCGAGTCTCTGCTCACCTTTCTTGGCCGCCGCCGGCTTCTGCCGCCCCTTGCCGTTTTGCTGGCCGGAGACCTGGGCGAGGGAGACGAGGCAGAGGAGCAGGCAGGCTCCCCGCAGCACCATGCCGCTGCCGTCCGGAGCCGAGAGGAGCTGGAGTGAGGCTGCTCTGCCCCCGGACAGCCTGCTTAGCACCGGCTTTAATCAAAACTGTCTGGCCAAGAAAGAAGTCTCCAGGCTTCCAGCAGCCGCCCGGCCGCAGGGAGGGTTCAGGCGGCTCCGGCCAATGCTGAGAACGGCCCAGCCAGCTTTCCTTTCTCAGCCCGCCGCTTGTTTTTGTTATAAAACAAAACAAAATAAACCGAACGCGAAATACCACGAGCCTGCTGAGAGGCGACTCGGCTAAACATAAGGGAACGGCTGGGAATATGGCTGGGACGGTTTCCTAGGGGTTTCTGCACAGTGGCTGAGCTCACGTTTCAGTGATGGAGATGGCGACGTGAAGCACAAAAAATGGGGTTTGGGTGGCAGAGGGAACACAGCCCCTCTGTGGGGCTGCCCTCAAGGGGTGCTGCAAGTGCCTGGCATCGGGGACCTGCCTGGGGCTGACCTGGTTTCCAGCACCGCTGGTCTTTGTACCCGTGTGGCTGGGGACTACAGAGCTCTGGGCTTTTGGATCTCGGTATTAACCCCTGTGTGCCACCACGGGGAGAGCTGCCGGCTCTGTCACTGCCTTTATTGCTTTTTTCACCCCTCTGGCGATGCTCGCACTGTTCAGAATCAAAATCTAAAGCTTCTCTTTTCACTTAAAAAGAATTCAATGAACCAGTGTAGATCACCCAAAGTGTCTCTTGGCCAGGTCTGCAAAAGCCCCGAGATGCTTGGCAAGGCTCAGGGGCTGTGAAACCCCAGCTGATGCTTCACACACACTGTGCTGGGGTCAAAAGGAGCACTGGGGGTCTCCCCCGCAGCCACCCTCACGGTAGGTGACCGAATCTGCTTTTAAATTTGTCTATTCACTCAGTTTGGGGAATGTTTAGACTTCTAAATAACTGTGAGCTGTAACAGACAGATGGGCTGTGCTTGACTTTGAGTGGTGGGAGCGTGGCTCACAGAAAGATGCTTTGCCCTTGCAGGGTCCCAGGTGACTTGAGAGCAACCTAAAAACCCAAATCCCTGCCTGATTTTTCGGGTGCTGCAGTTGCAGCACAAGCATGAACAGGATTCTCTGAGCGAGTGGAAGAAATTTGTGTGAGGAGATGAGCGGGAGCACAGACAGAGGAGAACAAAGCGCGCTCTGTATCCATCATTACCCTTAAATCCTTTCCGAAGAGCGAAGGCAAGATGCTGCCCAGCACGCTGCGAACCGCTGGAGCTGCTTGAGCACAGAAGGCCTGAGATAAACAGGGGTGTGCCTGGAAAAAGAGCTGCTGTGGATTTAGCTTGGCTACAGCCGTGTTACACTCCCTAGCGCTTGTGCTGAATAAGCGAAACCCTGCCCTGACATCCTACCTGAGCAGAGCTCAGCCCCAGTCCAAATTTCAAAGCCAAGGAAGTGGGTTTGGTGTGCATTCCCTGTCACCACACACACGCAGCCCTGCTCAGACTTAAGCAGGAGAACAAATATTTGGGGGGATTTGCCGTCCTTGCTCCTGGACTACCCCGAAGCAGGACGGAGCCCGACACCTACGCACACATGCAAGTTCCCCTCCCTTGACACTCAAGCAGCCTCTCTCTATCCAAAAGTACTTTTGGTCGGCTCAGCACCTCCTGGTTTTCCTTGGCTCCAGGTTTGCTCGCTTGTCATTTCTCTGATTAATGTCCTGCCACATGGGGGAAAACCGAATCGCTCTGTGCTGCTTCCTCTGAAACAGACAACTCCGATGCAGGGGCACCTGCACCCTAACCGCAGGGTTTTGGGTGGCTGTGGTTTCCAAAAGGAGGCGTTGGCTGGCTCTGTAGCCTGCTTATATGGACTGAAAAAATAAATGCTTGGCCCTGTAAACCTCCTAAGCCCACAGGAACTCACCCAACAGGACCGAGCTGCTGCGCTGCTGCAGCAGGTCCAGAACAGGGGATGCTTTTGGGGAAGGGATGTGTAAAAAAACAGAGGGGCCCTGCCTCGACCACATTCCCACCCCGTCTGGGCTTCTGCTGAAGCCAGGGGCCGTGGTCCAGCTGGGTGACACGGGTATCAGTGGTCTTCTGTGTGCTGGCACTTCAGCCACACGTCCTGCTTTAGGATCTGAGTGACTCACCCGAGTTGTGTAAGCGAGGCGTGGGAGGTGAGTAGAGGTAATCCTTCTCATGGGATGAACTAATATAACCGGGAGACATCGGTGAGGTTTTGGCCACTGGAACCTTTCCCCTGGGGGCTGAAGGAGAAGCAGCAAAGTCCAGAGGTGAGGAGCAGCAGCTGGGAGCTTCATTAGGCCCAGCCGAGGGAAGGGAGCGGGGGCCTGGGGAAAGAGAGGCAGGTAACTCATAGCAGGGCTCACAAGAGTGAGGAAGGTGACAACATGCCAAGAAACCATTTTTTTTTGTTGTTCACAATTAAAAATAAAAATCTGTAAAGCTGTGAATTTTCCAGTAAAAGCACTTCACTCCCTTATTTCAAGCCAGGTCTCCCAGTCAGACAGACAGCAGCTCCTGTCAGCTGCAAGGAAACTGGTCTGAGGTGAAAAAAAGAGGGTAAAAGAAAGCACGCCGAGGGAACCTGTCCCAGGGCTGCGGGGAGGTGAGGAGAAGCAGTCAGAAAAGTTGACGTGGCTCTGGGAAACCCAGCGAGCAGGCTGGGATGCTGGGCTTGGAGGGATTTCAGTTCGCAAAACAGTGCTTGGAAAAGGCCCATGGAAGGAAGCTGGATGCTCCTGGCAGCGATGCAGGGCTGTGATGTCGTGCCCGGCTGGGCAAGGAAACGGGCAGTGAGATCAGAGGTGGTTTTAATTCAGCTCCTAGGAAATGAGCAGGGGTTGCCAAGGCAAGAAGCGGGCGAGCACCGCCACACAATGGCTGGGAGGTGGGAGGGTGGGCTGAGGAAGGGAGCAGGTTTCACACGGTTGTCGTCGAGGTGGGCAATTCCCAGCCCAGGCTTTTCAAGGCTAAGACATCATTTCAAAGCAGCCTCAAAGGAACAGGAGAGAAGCAGCGGTGGACAGTAAAAAATGCCCCAAGGACATGGGGATAACAGGAGAAAGTCTCCGGTGGTGGCCACCTCGTGAACTCGTGCTGGCATCGCTCCTGCTTTCCACCGGCACAAACAACATCAGAACAGGTTGAAATGGAAAGCGCCGAGTCTATGGATCATTGTTTGTAAGACCAATGGAGAAGGAACGCGATAATGGCTCAGGAAAGGGTGGTTTTCATGAGGACAATGATGGGGAAAATCAGGGAGTCAGCACTTTGCCAAAATGTTCTCCCTAGCACCAACACGAGGAAGCTGGCCCTGAGCCTGGGGAGGGCGCTTCCCCATCCCATGCCACAGCAGGCACGGCTCACTTCCCTACCCTGTGCTCTCCAAGGGTCACAGGGCAGAAGGATCTGTGCAAAAATGCATCCTTGGGCCTTAAACTGAAGCGTTTAAACCAAAAATGGAGAGCTTGAGTGCCAGCAGCTGCTCAAAATGCCCTCCTTCCCAGCAGGAGCAGCACTGAAGGACTTACCCTGCCTTCTGCCTGGAGCACGCAGACCCCACGGGGCTAGGGGCAGGCCTGTTTGTCTACACTGCTTTTATTTTCTGCCCATCATCCGTGCCCCAAAATGTGACCGGCCTCAGCAACTGTGATCTTTGGAGTGTAAATCAGGGAGGCTGGAGCTGATCTGCGAGTGGTGTGACGAGAACTTGGGTGCCTGCATCGCTGATCCCACTGAGCAGGATGACAACGGAGATGTTTATGGAGCTCGTCGGATAACCTCGGCCTTATTAAAGCGTTCTGGTGGATAAAATTCAGGCTGAAGCCATCACCGGGGAGTCATGAACAGCAGCACGCCCATGAGCCAAGGGCTGTTGTGCAGGAACAGCAAAAAACACGTTAGCAGGCAGCGAGAAAGGCAGCTCATTAAAGAAAGAGCGGAGGGACCGCGGCCTCCCTGCAGAGGTAGGTGCCCAAGTGCCCGGCCTTTAGCCCGGCCTTGTGCTATTTGCAGCTCCACGAAACACACGGGAGGTGGGGGGGGACACAAAAAAGCCAAGCTAATGAAAAGGTAAACTGCAGCTGGGTGCTTTTTGGGCAACACGAGCAGAAACCTAGCGGGAGTCACCATCTCCAGCAGGCAGCTTTCAGCTTCTCGACCCTCCCAGCAGAAGCGATTAATTCCTGGGACAAACACGGAGCTATCCTGCTCCACAGATGTTTCCTCTTAGGCCGACTGGACTCAAGTCAATGAAAACGTGGCAATATCTGCACAGCAACACATGGAACTTTCCACCAGCCCGAAGGGGAACAGGAGCAGGCTCGGCTGAAGCCTTTATGAAAAATCTCCGACTGCTATTTTTGTTTGGGGTGGAAGGGAGGAGTTAAAAAGAGAGCTAAGAAAATAGAAACGGGCAGCAGAGGCCTTTGCATGCCTGAGAACCGCAGTCTCAGAGATTTCTTGGCAGATGTTGCACCAACTGGGAGAGCTGCGGGCCCTTTTACCCCTATCTGTGCTTTGTTTATCCATCTGGGACAGGAGTTGGTAGCAGCAAGCCTCCAGGGGCAGCTGAGACCAAGCAGCAGCTGTGCAAAATTTCTGGCTGGGCTCCCTATTTACATCCCAGGGGTAGGAGCAACCTCGGCCTGAACTGGGGTCACTCTCCACCCCGCTGCTTTGCAGTCTCATCATTAGGTGGGAGGCAGGGAGCTTGTGGAGGGAGGAGGAGACTTTGAAGACCCCAATTCTGTGCCTGCAGAACCACAGGGAGGAGGACACGTGCACCACGTTAGGTTACACTGACACTCTCAGAAAGTGCTTGGAAGGATTTTATGACCGAGGCAGGCATTTTGGCACACACGCCTGCTCCACGCGTCTCCCTGCGGTGGAAGCAGACACGGATGCTCAGGTAGCAAGAGTTTGCTTTTAGGTATATGGGCACAAAGCCCAGATCTCAGATGAGCCAAGTATTTGCTTTTCCTGCTAAGAAGTGGGTCAATTAACACACCTAAAACATGGCAAGGTGAGGTTTCTTGTCTCTTTTTTCCCCAGCTCCCATAGCTATCCATTTGAAGTGAAAAAGATCTGGAGAGGGGAGTCCCACTATCATCAGTAATTTGCAAAAAGGTTGAAGTTCCCCCAGCTGGAAGGCTACCTAGGCAGAAACTATCACTACTGTGTAACAAAATTCACCCTGGAAGTAACTCTAGGAAGCCTTCTGGTACCAAATCAGAAATCTATAATAAACCAAGCAACAGTTATTGAGGGAACAGCTGTGGTTTAAGACTTGCAATCCTCATATAGATTAACCATTTTCTGAAACATTAAACAATACACAACTAAATAAAAACTACCTGTGATATGTTTAAGGTACTGTAAATGTTTGTTCTCCCTTCGGTTTTCTTTCTTTCTGCCTTCTTAGAAGCATTTTATGACCTGAAGGAATTTTAGTACCTGAAGTACATCATATGTTTTAGTGTGAGCATGATTACTTTTTCCTATATCTACAGCCCTCCTTCGGGAAAACCCTTGCCCTTCTCCCCACCAAACACACACCAGTCAAGAGATTTTATTTATCTGGCATCAGGAAATGAGAACAGAATATTGAACAACCACTGTTTGATTAAGAGGTAAAGGATTCCTGGATTATTATTGTAGCTTTTCCTGCAACTTCTCCAATCTGATGCTTCTTCCCATCCTGCAGGAAAAACAGCTCTTACTCTTTGCTGCACCAGCCAACTGATGTAGGTATCCATGGCTTTGAAGACCTGGTGATACAACTTGATTGCATCTTATCTGGCATCTTCTCCTGTCTTTTTCAGCTTTGATGAAATCCATTTCCAAACTCAGTGGAAGAGTAGAAGGACAAGGGTTCTCCTCTTGTTTGAACCTCTACAACTGTCTCCGTGCTCATTCCTGCTCCACTCCAGCGAAGCCAAGACCTGCACTCTCTCAGCTGTCTCTTTGGTTATTACAGAGTAATACCTAGCAGGACAATGGTGGAAGTGAGGCTTTAGCCCTGCGGCACTGCTGCCCAGCACAGCATGTAAAGGACCTTTACTGACAGCCATTACTCTTCCAGCTGAACTACCCAACTCAGCAAAATTAACTTATTCTCCCTTCTACCCTAGTCACGCCCCTTCTCCTTACCCACTGTAAGAGGTTTCAGCGAGGCTACTCTATCTGTTGGCAAAAAGGACAGAGCTCTATTAAACAAAGACATTTTGGTTTAAAATATGATTTAGAAACTTGGGACCATGTTGTATTTGTAGTAAAATTTAACTGCATTTTATTCAAAGTAAAATAAATTGAAGGAAGGCTTCCAGTGAGTGCTGCTTTCTTCTCCCATTAAGAAGAATTAACTGGATGATGAACAAAAATGTCTTAGAGACCCAAAATCTGGCTTGTGCTGTACCGAGGGCTCCCCCATATATGTTCTAAAGGACAGCAGCTGGCCTGCAGAAGTGGAACACGTGCAAACAGAATTAAGTGGAACCCACCCCCGTCACTCTTGAAAACAGACCTGAGCATTTCCCAGGCAATTCCATCAATTGCTGCTGGTGTGCCTCCTAGGTGCAGACAGTTACCCATAAGGAAAACGCCCCAAATTTGCTCATTCACATTTAACCAGAGCTTTTTTTCAAGCTTAGTAACATTTTAAAAGCTTTTAGTTGGGAGGGTGTATGTACTGCAACAAGAAATATCCCTTTTCCATATACAAACTGACAAGATTGCACAATCAGTTAAAAACAGTTTTGGACTTTTAATAAAAACTCATCCAAGAAATCCAACTTTCTGCCGTGTGGTCCCCAAACTTTCTTCTTCATCCAGAATCTTCTGAAGGGCTATGTGCAATGCCTTTCCTACTCTCTTTCCTGTCTGCAAAGTAAAGAAAGCAAAACAAGTCTGAGACATACGCTTATTAACAGGAAGACAACTCTCATGGATCACTTTCTTTTGACAAATATTTTCCCTTTAATGATTAATATATACCAGCTGGTGTAATAAAAAACATGTTTTTAATTAAGAAAAATAACGGTGGTGAAAGTTTCATCTTAATTTGATTAAGTTTTGGAAAAAACTATGCATAAAGGCAGTGCTCCAATTCATCAGAGAAGCATTCCATGATCATCAGCACCCGATCCGTGCAATGCTGGATCACCCAAGGGTACAAATTAAATTCACATCAGGTACAAGCACACATTCAGATCAGCCAGCACATGCAACACGAAGCAGAATGCTTTCTGCATAACACACCGTCATGTAGCCAGAGGTGTTGGCCCAGTATTAAAAGCCCCAAATGCACATGATCTGCATCACCAAACCCATTTGTGGGCCAGATTCTTCATTATGCTGCACAATTCTGCACTGTCCGAGGGCCTTGAAGGAGTCAACAGAAGGCTTTCTATGCAGAAATAAACTCCAGCAGTGGCAAACCACCAGGGTTGGCTCTGATACCAGCCCCTGCTCTTCCCACAGGCACAAGTGTAGTGCAGAAGCTGCAGGAATGAGGAGCACTGGGCAGTGCTGAAATAAAGATCTTAAAGCAGAGGCGACCATTAGTGTTCTGCCTGGGGTTCCCGACTCCATACACAGCTGAACAGAGTCCACCATCCCTAAATAGCCAAAGCCAGGCTGTCTTAAACTGAGTTTATCAGTTCCTGATCTTTGCAGTGAAGCCTTTACCTGCCATACAGCTGAAAAACCATAAAGTTCTTTCATTTGTGTGACAATTCCCACCACTGTGGGTGCACAGACCTTCAAGTAAGGTGCATTTTGGCTGAAGACCCAGGTGACGGAACAAGGTCCGTAACACCAAAGCAAATCTGGGATGAGCTGTGAGGCAGCAAGGTGGCTGCCAATCCTAAACAATATGAGACATGCTAAATCAAAGACAGCACACAGGAATTGCTACTGCTCTGCACTGGCACAAAGACCACAGCAGCACTCCGGAGTCCAGCGGGGTGATGTACTTCGGTCACTCTTCTCCTCAAATGTAGGATAACATCACTCACACCTGGTCAAAGTGAACAGGAACTCTGCAGAGCTCTGGTGTTGACACAGCACACAATGCTGTGGCCATCCTATGCCCGCTTGCCTCCCTTATGGAGCATAAACTCAGCAAAAAGCCTAACACTGGCAGCTTCCCAAAACTTCCCCATGCAACTGCCTTCCTTTAGAGATACATCCTCGATACTTCGGTTCTCTACCGGGCAGGGAAAGCTGAACACACCTTCTGACCTGCTGTTAAATCTCACTAGGAATAGGAAGTGTCATGGAAGGATTATGCAACTCTTACACTGGACATTCCCAGTCCCCTCCTCTTTTCTTTTTTTTTCTTCTTTCCCTTGGTACTCTAATCAGGCTGCTATGTTTGAGGCAGTCTCAAACAAAACAGGACCTCTCACCTCCCAGAAAAAATATTTGTTTCTTCTCATCAGCTTTCTCCCTCACTCCTTCCAGATGCTCACCACCCAAGAGAGAGGACTTCTTCCAAACCAAGCAAGAGCACAGCACGCTGGGCATTCAGCTGAAGCTTTAACTCCTTTCACCAACACGAAGGGACAAGCTCTCAAGTAGAGTAAGACAGTTGGAAGGTTTCCACACACATCTGATCAGTGTTTAAGCAAGCACTGTTTAGTCTCAAGCACGGCCTGATAATAGACTATCAATGGAACCACCGAAGTTCATTTCCTAGTTAGGGCTCGCTGTAGAGCTAAGTTGGTGATCAATGTTTTCTGCATTTTCTGCATCAGAAAACTTGCACGGGGGGTGGCTTCTACCACGAGCCTGTAACTGAGTCAAATGCCCATCCCTCTGTAGCAGCCCTAGACCCAAAGCTTCAAGTCTTGTGACATTTAGTTAGAACTGGACTCAAAATCCATCCAGGAAGACACATCAGATGTCCATGCGAAGTTTGGTTTCTTTAGGATGCCAGATCAAAGATGAACCCTGTGCACATTACCTGGACAACAAGGGGGTTACGTGACCCCCCTGGATGCAATTAGCAGACCACCGGTATCACACAATCAGCACTCTGGACTGACATCACGATACGCTGAACTCCCACAGATATTCAGCCTGTAATTTCCACTTGAGACCAACTGCTTTCAAACTTGGCTCCAGCTTCTGCATTCCTCACTTCCACGTTAGCCATACTAAAATTAGTTCTGGATCTCTAGGAAACGGAGCCAGCTTTAAGTATTTAATTTTCATTCCGACTCAAAAAGTTCAAAACTCATTTCTGCCTGATGCTCAAGGCAAAATCCAGGCATGCGAATTTATATGGGAAGACGGTTTCAAGAAAAGCCTAAAGAAAAGTTTAAAAAGGAAATCTCATGTGGATGTGAAAAACATCCTAATAGTACTTTCATGGAGTAAGGGCAGACCAAAAACCCAATAAAAGAGCAAAGAAAAAACAACAGTAAAGCAAGAACAGAAGCTTATGACAAAACAAATGAGTTGTGCTAGAAGGGAACACCACGTACCAGCCCTTCAAAGTACCACCTCTACTTCTGTGGAGACATTACCACATTAGAGGTTTTGCTCTTTCAGTCTTTAGGGGAAATAATGAGATAGGAAACATCTTACAGCTCTGAGTTACTTGACTGAAACAAATGTGAGTACAACACATTTCAGGGATATTAAAGTTTTAGATGACTTCCACTCATGTGAGATTCTGTGTTAAAGGAGCTGTCTGTGACCTTCAACAGGTCCCTTATTCACCTAATAAAAGCAACAAGGTCTCTGCTTTTAATGTCCTTACTCTAGCTTCTCATACACTCAAGTCCCAGTTCATCCATTACCATGCAAGACAGTAAGTGCTCAGAACTCCTTACCTCCATCATTTCAAAAATGCTCTCAGGATCCAGGCTGCCTTTCCCTATTTTCTTCATGCAAGTGAGGGCACCCTTGCTGGTCACAGCAATAAGCAGGCTGGCCAAAGAACAGGCTTCTTCCTGAAGGGTAGCATCCACCACATGCCTATATCCAATCTGTGAGTTAATGACAAAGCAACGTATTAGTTTGCAGTTGTCCAGGTTCTTTATTAAAAAATTAAACCGTACGGGTAGCTCAGTCAGTTGTCTGCAGCCTCCCATCCTAATCTCATGTCATCTTTGGCAGAGTTTAGAGACTGAGTTGATAGTACAGCACTTCAACAGCTTCTGACCCCAAATTTCATGTACACACACATCAGAAGTGAGATAAGCATGTCTCTACATCAGCTTGTCTTCCTCCCTGACCATCCTTTCACTTATCTGAACCTCCGTATTTCCCTTTTACCTCACCTCCAAGGACTGACTCCCCTACTGCCCCGGTGAAAATAACACATCTTGGGGCTTAGGTGAGGCCCCACTTCGGTGATTGGCTTTCTTCTATTTATGCTACTTGCTTAAAAAATATGTCAGACAAGCTTCCCAGCAACCAAGCAAATCACTAACAGATGCAATGGAAAATGCAGCATCCAGCAAAACAACTGTTAGCTGCATACTGCATATGGAAAAGGAAAGCGAAAACCCACTTGAAAGTTCAGTATTATACCCCTGAAAACAGAATTCTGTCCCCAGCAACAAACGCCAGGCAGACCACTCAATCTGTGAGCCTTGCAACAATGCCCATTTGTTTTCACATACTGGAGTATCTACTGCTCTGGGTGTTGAGCAATGAGTAGCTGAAAAACAAAAATTTCTCCTTGTATCATAGTTTACAAGAATGCATCGAGGGGAAATCTCAAAGTTGGAGGTGGAAAAAAAAGCCTTACTCAATAAAAGCTCCCCCTCAATCAGAATAATTCCAAGGATGAACAAATGTATACAGAGTGACCACTTCTGCAGCACAAGTTTTATCTCTAGGGAAAAATAAACAGCAGGAGAAGTTAACAGAAACTGAAGTTTCTAAGTAGAAGGTCAGAAATTTGCTGGGCTTACTTTGCTTAACGTGACAATGCAGGGCACATCATCCACGTTTAGTCGAATGCAATCATAAGGGTCATCAGAGAGCTCAATTTCTTTAGAGCCTTCTTCATCCTCCAGAACACGCACTTTGGGTATTCTGCAGAAACAAAAGCATGTGCAAAATCATCGTCAGAACAGATAATGAGTACAGGCGTCATACAGACTCAACTCCAACAAGCACCCTTTCCTCTAAAGGAGGCTACGTGTTTAGAAAAAATCCAGAATGTTTTCAGAGTATTAACAACTCACTCACTGAATAAAACATCCTTAGTGAGAAGATATTCAGGATAAGACTATGTGCATCATTCCAACTATTAGAATTTAATCTAATTTCTACACTAATACATGAGGAGAGATTCAGTGCTGTCTTTTAGAATTTGCACATTTGAATTCTGAACAATTCTTTGCACATCTGCCTGGCAAAGCAGGAGAGAAATTGCCAAGACTGAACCCATTCATATCGTGGCACCCGATCTCACAGACAAACCTCAGGTTGTTACAATTACAGCAATCACATGGCCTGGGAAAGCCATGACATCAGCAGCAAGTATAAGCAGTAAAGCAGTTCAAGAAAGAATGACACCAGCTAAGGAGAGGTGGGGAAAGGGGTGGCAGTAAAATCCTCTCTCTTTAGCAGGTTAAGACTGATGAGCTCTTCTCATTCTTTAAGAAGCCAGAAGACCCTACTACTCTCAGGACAAATCTACAAAAGCAATGGCCAGGGATAAAAACCTCATGTAGAAATCCAAGAAATGCTTTCTTCTCACTTTCTCACAAATGAGCTAGACGGGCTCCTTATCAGTGGTACACACAAAGTATCTGTTATAGCCGTTTGATAGGAGTTTCAGAGGATAATTTAACGCGGCTTTATTAGCATGATGAATAAAATCATTTAAAACAACTTAGAAGGTGGTATAGGAGGGCTTGGGTTGGAAGGAACCTTAAAGATCATCTAGTTCCAACCCCCCAAATTCTCAATAACTTCAGCACCTTACATACCCTCATTTATCCAGGTGTCCACTCAACGGAGCACTGACTGACAGAATTTGCTTTACTGGCCAGCAAAACCCCCACACAGCTCAGCGAAACTGCTCCCACTTTCACGTATTTGCATGTGAAAACACAAAATACTTCAAGCTATGCCTGGAAAGCTAACTTCAGTAACTGTGTGGAACATCACTGCAGTCTGTTTTTATGCTAGTATTTTTACAGTAGCATTGTTTGTCAGAGTGAGACTCCTGAGGTTACATTCTTTAATGTGTTCTGTACCAAATCTCTTTAAAGGAAGAGATAGAGACTGGCTTTTTCTCCAGGAAAGCAAAGCGATTTTTGTTGTTCCCCAGACAAATGTTTTAGTTACTTGTGGCTAGGAGCCTGAGAGCCAAGTGCTTCATAGCAGTTAACTCTGCTTTTGTAAGATTTCTTACAAGAACGAGCCAAGCTAAAACTAAAAATTTCAGTAAGCAGACAACTACGATGTGTACTTTTTCAGGAAATTCAACTCAAAATGCTTTGCAGTTATGTAAGAACCCAGTGGAAATGCATCAAAGCCTATTTTCAAACTGCAAATATTCCATTACAAGTTGATGGAATAAAATCCCAAGGTGCCTACTCCTCCAGCTTCACAGGACAATGGACAACGCTGGACATCAGCCTAGACGAGAAGTTTATGTGCCAAAACAGTGTTTAAAAAAGAAGTGAGTTAAAAAATATATATATATAAGATTGATTAAGCAATTTTAACTCCCTCCTAAAAGAGCTACGAAACTACAGCAACGTTTTGCCTGCAACAAGAAGCCGACAGAATTAATACCTGAAAATCCCTGCAAGGGGCTGCGTTGGCCAAGAACAGACAAGGCAGATTAACGAATTACAACTACTGCAAAGGCAAAGAGAGCACTGATCAGATGCAAGCATCACAGTAGCAGGAAAAAAAGGGTATACACACACAAAAACCGAGGATCCAAATGGGCACAGGGAGTGTTTGTAGCACAAAGAGAATTCCCAGAAAATTTGATATTTCCTCTCCCAGCTTCTGAAGATTTATCTTAAGAACTAGCTGTACGTGTTTACTTGGTAACTTTTATTCTTCTGTTTTGATTCCTGTAAGTAATCAGCGCAGAAATCTGTACAGCAGGACTTAGTCACATAATGAACAATGCTCTTGTCTGCGTGCCGGAGACCCAGAGTTAACAACTGCAAAACCTCTTCTACCCTTGCATGCAGGCATCAGTTCTGCCCCTGCCACCCTGCCCAGCAAAAAATAATTTAAAAAGCAGGACATCGACAAGGCTACTGTGTTATAAACTCTATTTTTTTTTGTCTTGTGCCTAGTTTTTGTTGCCTCAGTTGCAGTGAGGCACATTCCACAAGATTGGGTTTAATGCTGAGTCCTGACACGGTGGCTACTTGCACATTTTGCAGTGTCTACTTCAATCACAGATAAATCCAGCCTTAAGCACTTCGGAGACACAGTTAAGAATACAGTTTGATAGCTGGTATCTTTCACACGTGATCTGGATTTAGTTTTTAGAACACAATGAACAATGCAAAAGCTCCAAGGAGTAAATATTCCCCCACGACAGTCGTATTGTCATTGTTCCATGCCTGAAGGGGATACAGTGAGTCAGGCCAGACATAAAAAGGGATTGAAATCCCATAATTCTCGCACAAAATTCCTGGTGTTACTACTATGGATTTACTCAGCCATAAAGAAAAGTGTGCCATAGCTATTATAAACAAACAAATGGTTAGGAGCAAGGTTTTAAGGATGAGGCTGAGCTTTTCAAATGCCTGTCTGAACATCAGAACAAAAAATTTGTGGCTTCAAAGAAAACAGCAACCTGAGCTTCCTGCTCCTGGTTTTCTGGCTGAAGTCAAAGGCAGACAAAGATCTGAAAATGCTTGCAACAGAAGCCTGTGAACAGATTATGAAAGGCAAGTCAGGCTCAATGAGGGACACGTACCTCTAGCGAAGTTCAAAACACTTAATCTGAAGTGATCTTCAAATCGACACCTTGTCTTGCTCAGACATCAATATTTAAGGAGAGTGGGCTGCTACTCTAAACAACCTTTGTATCAATCCAAAGAAAACTTAGTATATATATTGAGGGAAAGAGGAAAGAATACCAGATAAGAACAACAGCTTTTCACTTTGTATTCCAGCTCTGACTTCCTGAGCTCTGATTAGATGAGATGTACTCGTGTTCCCTGCCCTAGACAGGGTTTTCACAGGTCAAAATCAGCACGCTTTGTGTTATGTCATATTGTGCCACGGTCTGGTCGGCCATCCTACTTCCACCAGACTGAGGATTTTCACCCACAGCTTGCAGGAAGGATACAGCTTCCAGAACAATGAAAATAAAGCAGAATCATCAAAACAATTACACCCTCCATGTTACCCATCTGCTTTTTATTTATTTATTCTTATTTTTATACGATGTTCTCTCTTTATTCAAAACTAGAAATCTAGTTGAAAAAAGGCCATTATCCTGCAAATAAAGCGTGCGTCTTGGATCTGCAAAACGACCCACATGGGAGCAACTGTTTTAACTACAACACTTTCTCATCCTGGCAGCCCCCACACGGAGACACAGGCGTTTCTTCCCTTTCGTGTACTGTCAAGTCTTTGTGAGCTATTACATTTGTGACAGGATTTCTTAATGCTGCACAAACAAGCTACAGTTAAAAGGTACCACTGAGGGCTTGATTAAGCTGAGAAATTTCTCAGCCACATATACAAGTTGCAGTCTCAGATGGGCTCTCCCCTCCTCCCAACTTTAAAGTGTGTATAACCTGATACATTGCCTGCGTCTTCAAAAGCTTAATTTCTTCTTGTGAGTACTTTTCCAGCTCTAGTGCTGCGCACTGGTTCCCTGATGAATAAACAAGAACTATGCCACTGACTTCAGCAGATCTCTAATTTACAGTGAAAACAAATTGAGATCCACTTTAAAACATTTGTGCCCGTAAGAGTCTAATTTTTGCACCTCTGCCAGCTGCTTTTGCTATGTAAGATTTTTTAAGCAAAGCCATTCACTAGTTTCTTTCTTCAGGGTGATACAAAACTCTATATTCCCTTTCATCTATAGATAAATGAAGATAAAAATTAGAAAAAATATTGAATATTATTGAATGCGTTCAAAAACATTTGTATCAATGATTCTACTAGATTTTATTTTTCCATTCTTTGAACTAAAATGCATGTGCGTCCTGGTTTCAGCGAGGATAGAGTTAATTTTCCTCCTAGTAGCTGGTATGGTGCCGTGTTTTGGAGTTAGGATGACAATAATGTTGATAACGAACTTATGTTTTAGTTGTTGCAGAGCAGTGCTTACACTAAGCCAAGGACATTTCAGCTTCTTGTGCTGCCCTGCCACTGAGGAGTCTGTGGGCGCACAAGAAGCTGAGAGGGGACAGAATCAGGCCAGCTGGCCCAAACTGGCCAAAGGGATAATCCATACCTTGTGGTGTCATCCTGAACACTTAATATGGGGTGGCTGGCTGGGGTGGGGGGACTGCTGCTCAGGGACGGGCATCAGTCAGCATGTGGTGAGCAATCGCATTGTAAATCACCTACTTTGTGCGTTTTATTATGATTACCATTATTATTTCTCTTCCTTTTCCAGCCTATTAAACTGTCTTTGTCTCACCCCACAAGCTTTTACTATTTCCCCCCCAATTCTCTCCCCATTACGTGTGTGTGAGCAAACAGCTGCATGGTGCTGAGCTGCCTGCCACAGCATTCCTTTTGGCACCCAACGTGGGGCTCGAAGGGGTTGTGATAATGACAGATGCAACCACAATGTGTTAAAACAAAATTGTTACAAGCATTAGCTCAGTTTAATCTCAATGCTGCTAATCACAATGCTGATTTTTTTGATCTCAGGTCTGCTGTGCCTGTTTTCCATACTGTGCTATCTAGCACATTACTTACTGTACGTGTTCCCTGTCGTGCTGTTTATCATTTCTGGGGGCTGGTTTAAGGTTATTATTTTGCTGTACTGTGTAACACAGGCTTATGAAATGATAAAATGAGACTAATTTGGTATTTGTACGGAGAATTGCCATCACCTCCATACTTCAGAAACTGTATCTCGGAAACTATTACTAATTACACCTTTTATCTTTTCTCCTCAGGAAGCCAATTGGGGGCGGGGGAGGAAGAGGGGATACTTTTCCCCACTTCTTCACACTCCCTTTCTTCTTCACCTTCCCCTTTTCCTCCAGGCTAGTTACATAGCTCTCTAGTTACCATAGGTCTTCAAAACCCTGAACATCATTGGGATGTTCAAACCAGCACATTCCTATTGTTACGTCTCCTGAATGTGTTTCAGGTTTTGTTTAAAGGTTAAACAACTCATTAAGAATGCCATCCAGAGATCTGGACGTCAGTAAATGCTTCGTATTTTAAACTCACACGGCATCAACACAAAGGCCTCCAACTACTTGCAACAAAACCATAGGGTCAATACAATTTTTTCCTGGATCTGACTAGAGAACAAGAATTATATTGAGAGCCCCGTTGTGCATATGATGCAACACAACGCTGGATTAGTAGAAACATGTAAAGACATTAGCTCATGTTACGTGTTTGCAAGCAGACCATCTTTTATGCAAGTTGCCTTACGTTTTTCTTACTCAAATATATTAGGCATAAAGATGCCTAGCTCACAGAAAGTATTTCTTTTCCCGTGCCACTTCCACTCACATGAAAGGAGAGCTGTGCTTTACCTTGTGTTAAAGAGGGCTGCCTTCACCGCAATAGAGATTGCATCAAAGAGGTTCCCACCACACTCCAATAACTGGGGAGGAAAAGAAGAATCTCTTTAAAAGGCACTAAACTGATTTTTCCTTAAGTCTTTATTTTACTTAAACTTACTTGAAAAAGCACAAAATTAAGAACAAGAATAGGTTAAAAAGTTGTCTTTAAAGCCTATCTATGACAAATAAACTCCAAATACAAAACTAAAATTTCAGTTGACTGTATTATGCATGAAAAACAGAAGAGATAAAGCACTTCATAATAAAATTAATGGTAACATCTAGTAATAGAAGCTGAAATCACCACTGGTTACTCTTCTCCTGTTAAGTCCCTGCACTAGGCTATGACCAGAATATTTCTGATAATACTCAGCACAGCACATTTGTTCTTTCATGTTAGAAGAACACAAACCATCTTCTATACTTTATTTCAATGGGGAATTTTTTAAAAATAGTTTTCAAACAAGCAATGCCAATTCTCTCCCAGAACATTGTATGAAATTATATAATAAAGTTATAAAGGAAGCTAATTACACAAAGTATAGCTTCAAAGGCACATCTTGGTTTATTCTCCATTCTTTATGGAAAAGGAATCATTTTCAACTTCCTCTTGAAGCCGAAAAAGATCTAAGGAAATCCTGATTTCAAAGTCTACTTGTTGATAGTTCTATCACTGCAATCAAAGTCTGTGGAGGGAACCTAGCTTAGTTTCTTCCCACTGAGATCAGGAGAACAACCAAATAGAAGACCAGCACTGTATAAAAAGGCAGGGCTCTCGTAACCACTACTACTCACAGGCTGACAGAGCACTCAGAGATGTATTTGGTGGCAGCCCAGTGATAGTTCTCTGACAAGCTCCATTCTGAGCTTGTCCTCAGCCAGCACAGTTCTATCAACACACACATCCCCAGCAAGCACTGGAAACTACACGGCTAAGAACACGTGCATGCTTCTCCGTTACATCCATCTATGCTGGACACTGAGAGCAAAACGAGTTTTACAACACTGATTGCATTGATTGCTCCTCAAAATTTATTTAAGGAGGAGATAAACTCCCACACTGGGAACAAATCATAAATCAGATACTCTAGAAAGACAGCTTATTTTTATGAAGACAAACTGAATTGTGTAAAAGGAATGACAAGATTTGGGAGAGAAAGCTAATACAAAGGTGATCAAATTATTTCTTTCCAAACAGCTGCTGGATACAGAGAGGTTAACTTGCCACTTTCAGTCATGATTGGATTTCACTGGATAACACAATAAACTCACAATACCTTTCTTATTAAAACACAATAATGGGATGTGCCTGTACTGTTGCCAGGGTTATGTTCAGGCTGCTTTTCTAAAGCCTTATCTATATTACAGTGGCACCTACAGGCTAGGAACAAAGTCTGTCTCAAGCACAGTACAACTGATTCCTCCAAATATAAAGGAAGGCTGAAGCATGTTATGCAGAGATTTCCCCCCCCCACACAACCCACTCAATTTTTACTTTTTAGGGTTTTTTTATGTTTGGTTTGTTTTTAAAGGATTGAAGAAAGTCTGCACAACTGTGAGTTTTTGGAACAGATTTCTAAGTTGTTGGCTTTCTTTCCTCCAAACAGTGCTGAGGCAAGGCGGGGACAGAAAAGATGAAGAAATGCTCTGAAGGATGCTCAGCAGCGAACCAGCAGAATTTCAACAGAACCACATGTACCCTCCCTAACGCCCAAGCACACAACGTAGCGTGATGAGGTAGGGAATGAAAAGAGATTGCACAACTTCAGCTCTCCCTGCTCAGTATGGCAGACTGCTGGTGCAAAGTATGTGAAAGAGGCTATGCAAGTACCAAAACCAACCCCCTAAAAAACTCCTAAAAGCTTATTTCATATATCGGTAACTTAGAAGGGGAGAAAAAAAGACAGAAAGAGAGGGTGAGAACAGGCTGTAGCTTTGCAGTGCGGTATAACTCACACTTCCAAAGAGTAGCTCACAAATGCAAACATCCCCTGTTATTAAGAACGCATGTATTTTGAAAGGTCAAAGCACATTTTGTTGACCTTTAATTCATGTGTGTGCAGACTGGTGGCGGTAGGCAATCAGTCTGCATCTTCACAGCATCTGGCTGAAGTTTCCTTTTTTCCCAGTCTCACTACACACAATTAAAGCACTTCTCAACTACACTGACCACCAGAAAATCGAATATGAGGGATGTTTTCAATCTACAAGCTGCATGACTGTGCGAAATATCACTATTTTCTCTTTTGAGCTTGCATATCTCACATTTTATTTACACACAGGAGCTCAATATAGATGCTTTGATCAATGTGTGCATGGCTAAATTGCATAGCAACGGAGTACCTCCAGCTTCATAACTCTTCTCAGAGGGTTTTGTCTGTCAGAATAAGAGACTTGGAAACAAGAACTTTTCCATCTGCCCACAAGGTACCAGTATTTTGAAACTTAAGACAGATTTATGACTTATTTTCCCTCCTACTTAACTATGCAACACAAACACTTCCATGAATTCTGAAGTACAACATTTTCCAAAGGACTCTCAATGATCAGTTATCAGATATAGAACCTGCCTCCCTCCAAAGATGAATAACAAGACAAAATATTTTATATTAGCACAAGCATCACACTTCTACCATCAGAACAGAGCTCTAGAGCAGTCACTCAGCAAGAAGAGCTTCATGAAAACCTGTAGCTATCAAGCACCTACATCAAGTATAAACTATCACATATGTGATACATACATCTTCTACTTGGAAAAGGAATTAGAACAAATACCTCACAAAAGTATTGAAGTACAGATGCTGGGGTAGAGGGAGGAATAGAAGAGTTATGTTAAAAGCATCTTGTTTTATCTAACCCAGCAGCTCTTCTATTACTCTCATAAAAAATCTGCAGGTGACATTGAAAGCCTCATCAACTTTTGAGTCCTAGTTATGAACCTACAACAGTTTCTTTGCTGATACTGTAAACGCAGCTAAATGAAATAAAACACATACCATAGGTCTTGCTATTAGTTGTATCAGAATTACGAACAGCACGTGAACACCTAGGCTGTTTTCCTCTGTAGCTGTGGACAATCAGCAGATTTGTCCAGGACAAATCAGGTAACGACCTGTTGTATTTCACACAACAGTTACACAGAACTCTGTCCGCAGCAGTCAGCTTTATTAAAAGTCTTTGTTTATGCTGCAGAAGCAGCACGTTGCTTAAATAAGCACTGCGTTTAATATTCTGTACCTCTGCTTGTAATAACCTAGCAACTCAAGGTCACAGTGTGATTTCTCAGAACTAGCACTTCATCCTCTGTTAAACTATGCCAAGCTCCAACAAGCTGGTGACTAGGATTGCTAAAGCACTCAGCAGTACATATTGGATCATGCTGCAGACTGTCACGTTAAGTACCGTGCCTATTGTAATTAGGCTAACGTATTGCTCTTTAAAAACTTAATGGACTCATTTTTACATTCAAGTCTCAGTCTCCATATTCCTGTTTTGTTTAGTAAAACCCTGTTTGTTGCTTTTTTGTTTTGTTTTGTTGTTGTGTTGATGTGTTTTTTTTCCCTTCTCCTTTTGGCAATGCAGCTTAACACTTAATAAATCATTTCACAGACATTGATTCCAGTGAGTAATATCTCTCAACATGTTTTCAGTTACACATTTGACAAATGGAAACTCAATTTTGGACAGTAAGAGTTGAAAACAGAGCTCAGGAGAGTCTGACTTACAGACTTCAATTAAATTCACATGACAGAGCACTGTAAATACAGCATTGTTTAGAAACTGAGCTGCTGTATGCACAAGATTTACATACACAAAATTCAGTTTCCATTTTTTAACGGGCACAAATATTCAGTTTCTCTCCTATATTCAATACAACTTCCATCAAATATTGCCTAGGCCAAATGTAACTTTTTTTGCAGCAATTTCCTTGTGAGTATACGATTACTGATTTTTATGGGAGCCAGATTTGGAGTATTCAGTGCTTTGTTAGCTCTGCAGTGGAGCAGCACCACCCAGAAGAGCAGAAAAAGAGTAAGCAGGAAGTAGCTGATTAACTATTACAGATAGATTCACAAGGAAATGGCCATCCGTGCTGTGAAGTATGATGTCACATTAGGAGAAGCATTTTTAATATGAAAATACACATGGCTATGCTCAGTCACCCAGTGGCTTGAAAACCTCCTCGAACTCTTAATAGTTTTTGGTTTTTTTTACTTACCAATACATCAACATAGAGAACCCAGCAGTGCTCTCTAGGATTAATACAAAGAGATTTCAGGTCTACACTCCCTTCGCTGCTAAATACCCTGTAGAGTGTATTTGCTATCTCTGTGCCAAGTTCTTCTCCTCCCCGGCCTTCAAATTCAGGAGTAGCATTTGCAGAACTAGATAAAGAAAGGGGAAAAAAAAACAAAAAACCTTTCACTTCTGAAGCTGCCAATATCCAAAGAACATTTCTTAAACATGAAGTACTAGAAACATCCCCATGGATTTATTCGTACAAGAATAAGCACATCATCTGTGAAGAAATTATTCCCATTTTGCATAAAAAAATGTTTTAATGCAGATAATATACCTATATTTTGTTGCTAAGTGATACTAATTAAATTCCACTACTATCTTCAGTTCCTAAGACAATATTAAAGCTGGTGAATTCTCTCTGGGACTAGTTCTTTAGCATTCTCATCTTCTGTCACCTCAATCCTTTCAAGAAAAAGAAGCGAGAGAAAATTGTACTAAGTTCAGAATGGCTAACAAGGCAGCCTGTTAGCAATGAATGTGAAATTAATAAGGTAAGAGAGTTAAGTAAGAAGGTAATTAATAAGGTAAGAAGAGAAAGATGTGACACTGGGACAAGTAGAATATGCAGAATTGACATGACTGCCTGGCCTTAATTGGTAATTTCTTTTGGTGAGTGTACTCTCTGCTACCAAGGCACTTACAGACAGCAGCTCATTATTTTCAGCAGCTGCTGCTTTTGGATAGGAACAGCCAAAGAACATTTTTTCCCCAAAGGGAACTGACAAAAAAGCCTGTGGTCTTTACTTCCCCGATTCCAACATAGGAAACTTTGATTATGAGGTCATGCAATAAGTGCTTGGGTGCTGGGACCTCGTTCACAGCCAAGTGGAAAACAACAACCCCACGAAGCTCCAAGTCACAATGAAATCGAGCAGAAATGCCCAGAGGCACACAGTAAAACAAACAAATATTCTGAACCTAACCCCCTACTGTAGAGAAAGGGCAAGAGCATTTTCAAGAAGTAGACCTGTGGCAAACATTTATTTAAAAACAGGATCTGCCACTAGTCAGATCCCCCCCAAAGTCATTTCTCTTTACTGAACATGGGAAAGGAGGGGGTCCCATAGGAGTAGTGTGGTATCTTCCAAATCTGTAAAAGCAAAACCTCAAACCCTACTGGCTGGGCACCTCTCAGTGCCAATTTCTCATGTACATTTTGTATTGATACGATGAGAAAAGTCCTCAGCTTTCTGCCAACACCAATGCCACAGGAACGTGAACATACAGCAGAAAATACACTCTTGGAACAGAATCACCTCACCTTTAAAAAAACAAAACTAAAGACCCACGTTATCTACTGACGACTTCAAACATCAAGTGAGCTGTGTCAACAAGACTGCAGAGCCTATAAGGAAAATCCTTGCCATACAGTAATCCTCCCAACTTGTTCTTTGGCAGAACTGACGATAATCCAGAATGCCCCGCAGAGTTACTGGTTTTTTTAGGAGTTATTTGCCATTTCTATAAACAGACAGCACTATACACACTGAAAAGGTAAACCTTACTGCCAGTCAACCACTGACCTATGCTTCCAGACCACATTTACCACACGAGCGAGCACTGCAAGCGTGACACTTTTATTTGCAGTGGCATTAATATTAGACGCTGATTTTAGAAGATAGGGCCCTATCTAAGTATAACTTAATTCTGGGAATATAGCCAAGCCAGGCCCTTAGGCTGTACTGAAGGAGCACTTATTCACAGAATCTGTTTTTTTTGCAGGTTAACTAGTCCATTCTGTTTAAACTGCTCTGTTTAAAGTACGGTTATGCAAGCACTATGCTTCCTATGATAAATTGGAAAAAAAAATTATACAAACCTCAATCTATACCTCATTATTTTCAAACACCAAATTCCATCAAATGCTGTAGCTTTTAAATATGAATGGCTGCTTTCTTTGACAGGGAGTAAGAAGAACATAGAACTGAACTGGAAAATAATTGCAGGTTGGACTGCATCTTAATTCCAAGACTATTTTAACACTTCAGTTCCTTACAATCAAAGTGAAATAAAGAAAAAATGTTGGCTGAGTACGAATACACTATTTGGTAAACACTGCCACCCAACGCTCACAGAATGCTGCAGTAATTTTCACTGGGTAAAATGTGGGAGAGAATTGCCTAGCACACAAATAAATGAAAAAGCCAAAATGCTTGTTTTATGAAACACAGAAAGAACTTAGTAGTGGCCAGGGTGATCAAAGGGAATTTCTACTCCCAAACAGAACATAGTTTTTGAAGACTTTCAAAACTATTTCAGTGTCACATCACACAACAATCAAGAACCCTTTCAAAGCACAAATATGCTTCTGCCACAGATACCTGCTTTCAAAATCCCTTGCTGTTACCAGCAAAATCCTTTCTTTCACAGTAAATACTTCCCTTGTTGTTCAATGGAAAATAAATATTTGTTGCTAAAGCCCTTAGTAACTATAATCTACAACATAAGTAATTGTAGCAGAGAGAAAAAAATTAAACAAAAGATCATCTCTGAGGCCAAACCAGATACAGGCTGTAACAACGTGTTCATTCTGCACTTTACAATTGCTCAAAGACAGGCTTAAAATCAAATTGTTTTTCAACTCCCAGTTCAGATTAACACAAAATATGTAGTTAGCCTACAGAGGCAGATTTCCATTGCACTGAAGACAAAAGATTAACTGGATTTTCCACAGTAAGCTCACAGCTTCTTTCCTGGTCTACAAAGACCTCATTACAGAGAGAATATTCTTCACTTAGAGCTGCATTTATTTTATTAGTTTAACCACCACAAAAGCCAAGTGGAACACCTAAGAACTTCACCACACAAGGTGGTGTATCAAACTGTGCTCTGTTGCTACCACCCAGTGGCAGCCTGGAAAAGCATCACAGTACGGAGGGCATCTCGTTTCCCTATGGGGAACGTTCACCATTGTTAAAACAGTGAAATAAATTGTTTTAATTATTCAGACCCTTGCAGCAGGTTAATTCAATGAAGCTATACATTTCAGAAGAATGTTATTTGGAATAAATGACCAATTACCTTTTTTTCTATTATACTAACCAGTCAACGAAAAATTCCAGATAACCTTCATCTGGTTTCTCCAGCTTTGGTGTCCCCATTTCAGCTTTTACGCCCACCAAGATATCAGTGTGTCCCTGTTAAAACAGAAACGTATCACACAACTAGAACCACATTCACAAGACCGGTTAATTTAGATGCCTACAGCAAGCTGACATTTCCACCTAGAATGACTAGCGACAATAATTGACTATCACAACAAACTTGAAATCGGGTTAGTTTTTATTCATTTATTTTTGAAAAAGGAAAGGCTTTAGAAGAAGAACATTACGCATAGGGAACTTTTTCAAATAATTACCATACATAGCAGCTACGTTTAGAAGACATCACAGATTTGTTACCATTCTGGTTCTGGAAACAGCTGCAAAACCTTTGTAATAGTTCAAAAACTCTATTTATTTTCTTTACAACAGATGCCACAGGTAGCTTTGCTTCACTGTAAAGGCACAGAACTATTTTTTTTTTCCTGTGACCACAATGGTGTTTCTGTTTTTCCAAAATTAAATAGCAGACTAGTTCAGACTGAAGGCCTTCCAGGTACTCCATGATAAATCTAGCTCCAGTGGGTTAAGCTGGTCTGAATCATTTATATATCCTGTCATTATTTCCCTAACCCACCATTGCAGTTAGCGTCGTGCATGTGACACACACAGACACATCTACAGACAGCAATGGCTAATCTTAAAACAAGCCCAATAAGCCAGAGTTTAATCAGCAGCATACAAGAAATTCGCCTACCAGCTTCACTCTCGCAGATCCGGATGTGTTTGACACAACATCTGTTTCTACTTCTGCACACCTGTAATCTTCGCAGCCACGGCCATCTACACGGAGGTCCTCCTGAATACGACAACCAACCAAGAATTTGTGATTTTAAAGTTTCCTTTTCCCACGCCAACCACAGCAGTGAAGATGAATATAAAATCAATGGCTCCTGGTTTTATCACCAGCTTCCACATACAAGTGTGACAGAACCAACTGCACTTCTCTGTTCACCTCTCATCTGTCTAGAGCTTGCAACAAGTGCTCTGCGTGCAGACCTCAACCCCTGCACTAAGTCCCTTCTGGTTTCAACAGAAAGCTGCAGACTACAAAAGTGTCAAGGTCTTAGCTTTAAAAGGTATTTTCTCTATCACAACACAGGTCTTCATTGTGATGCCTGAGTTTTCTACTTTTAGGTACATAATTAGGACCCAGCAGAGAGAAATACCCACCAGCCTTCAAAACATTTTTGTCTGTTTACAATTCAAACACACGTTGATTTGCACTCCTCAGATGCTACACAGCTCATATCCATAAAAGCAGTGTTCTTCACCGTGAAATACAGAATCACAGAATGGCTGACATCGGAAGGGACCCCTGGAGATCATCCAGTCCAACCTCCTCACAAACAGGATCACCTAGAGCACACTGTGCAGGATGGCACCCAGGCAGGTTTTGGGTATCTCCAGAGGAGACTCCACAGCCTCTCTGGGCAGCCTGTCCCAGTGCTCTGTCACCCTCACAGTACAGAAGTGCCCCCTCATACCCAGCCAGAACCTCCTGTGCTTCAGTTTGTGCCCATCGCCTCTCGTCCTGTCGCTGGGCACGATTGAAGAGAGACCGGCTCCATTCTCTTGATACCCTCCCCTCAGATATTTATACACATTGATGAGGTCTCCCCTCAGTCTTCTCTTCTCCAGGTGAAACAGGCCCAGCTCTCTCAGCCTGTCCTCGTACGACAGGTGCTGCAGTCCTCTCATCATCTTTGTAGCCCTCCTCTGGGCTCACTCCAGTAGCTCCACATCCCTCTTGTACTGGGGAGCCCAGAACTGGACACAATACTCCAGGTGTGGCCTCACCAGGGCTGAGTAGAGGGGCAGGATAACCTCCCTCAACCTGCTGGCAACACTTCTGAACACAGCCCAGGACCCCACCGGCCTCCTTGGCCACAAGCCACATTACAGACTCGTGCTCAGCATGCTGCCCACCAGGACTCCCCGGTCTCTCTGCAGAGCTGCCCTCCAGCAGGTCAGCCCCCAAACCGTGGTCCTTGGGGCTATCCCTCATGAGCTGCAGGACCCTGCCCTCGAGCTCTGAGCTCCGCCACCTCCCCGCCCACCCACCTCGGCCTTCCTGAGCCTGGCTGTGCGGCCGTTAGGAGACACAGCACCAAAGGCCCTGCCCAACCCAAGGCAGACCACCCCCCACCCACCCCCAGAGCCGTCCATCTCCTCACAGCAGGCTCTCAGAGCAGTTAACAGCCCCATGCCCGGCGGCGGGGCGCTACCTGCACGCCGTGCACGATGTACAGCTTCTCCGCCTCGCTAAGGCACACCGCCGCCATCTTGCCCCCCTCCTCCCTCCCCTCAACCTCCGCTACTTCCGCTTCCGCTTCCGCGACCCCCTCCCGGTGGGGGGGGGGGGGGTGACAGCGGGAGGGCTCCGCGCATGCGCAGCGCCGCGCGCGGCGGGCGGGAAACTGCCCCCCCTCGCTGAGGCGATGGCGGTGGGGGGGGGGGGGGTGTTACCTCAGGGGGAGGTGTGAGCCTCCCCCCCCCCGAGAAGGAGTGATGAATTAAGTAATTAAAGTGTTAATTACAGCGTTTGTTGTCTTTGTGGCGGCCTTGCTGTGGCAGGGTGGTGTTCCCCAGCCCCGTCCCGGTGCCCGCCCCGTGTGGCCGTGCTGCCCCCGCTGTGGGCAGCTCCAAAATCAGTTCTGCGGCGTGAGGCGAAACGCCACAAAGTGGAAAAATGGGAAAATCCCCCATAAAATTCCTAAATTCCTCACAACATGCCGCCCTGATGCGACCTCAGTGCAGGCGCGCTGTGTGATTCCCAGTGAGCGCACAGCAGGGCGGCTCACAGCCACCAACACGAGCCCTAAATTCAAATAAATATGATATTTTCCCCCTTTCCACCACCCCAGCCTGCAGCCTAGCCGGCCAGCCCCACCTCCCCACCTCCTCACCCACCCGGCCAGCAGCGGCTCTCCCCGCGCTCCCCACCAGCAGCGCGCCGCCCCCACAGCCCCCAAATTTTCCCCGAAACCCCCTGAATCCACCCCATTTCTCCCCCTAGCCGCTGGCGGAGCCGCTGCCCGCCCTGTGCCCGTGCCCCGGGGCGGGGCGGGGAGGGACCGGGGCCGGGGCTGGGGCCGCCGCTCGCTTCCTGGTGGCTCCCGGCGCCGCCCCGCCGACAGCCGCGGGAGGGGGACGGGGACGGGGACAGGGACGGGGCCGGGGGGGGGCGCCGCGTGTGCGGGGCTCGCCCGCACCGGGACCCGCACCGGGACCGGCAGCGGGACGGCAAACGGGGCCGCTGGCGGCCGGAGGCGGCTCGGCGGCCTGCGGGTAGGTGCTGGTGGTGGTGGTGGGGTGAGAGGGAGCCGCGTCTTGTGGCCAGGCGGGGTGGTGGGGAAGGGGGGTGCCCCCGTTGCTGGGGTGTGGGGTGGGGGGGAAGCACCCTGCCCCGATCCCACGGGGTGTTTAGGGTGGGAAGGATCCGCAGGGAAAAGGCTGAGCGCCTCGGATGCCTGCTGTGGGAGATGGCAAGGCTTGGCTGTGAGAGCACCGCGCTCGTCTCGCCCTGTGAAAGCACCGCAGACATTGCCATGGTAAGTGGGGCCACGCGTGGGTTCCCCGGCCCTAAAATCGCAGCCCGACGTGTGGTGAAGATCCCGTCCTTCAAACGCCACGGCTACGGTGCTGTCTGCTCTGACGCAAGAGTGTTTGTCATGCCAATGGGAGCTGCCTGTGGTAGTAAGTTGTGCCCGACTCCTGGAGATTCAGGGGGTGCGACCCAGGGGCTCTGTGCAGGTACGGGTTTGTGACAGGGAAAAGGTGAGGTCTGCCTAAAAACTGGGGGTACTTCTGCACCCCCAACACAAACGGGGTGTTGTTGTGTTTCTGTCCCCATTTTCAGAAGCGTAGTTGCAGACAGGGTATGCATTTCTCTGAAATTGGCTTTTAGTAGCAGACAAAAGTGACAAAACGTGATTTAACCCCGCAGGCTGTAAGAAGATGAACGCCTGATTCCTCAGCAGATGCATGCCCACTGTGCCCAGGTAGTTACGTGTCTTTTGGGAGCACCCCTTCCAAGGGGACAGGTGACAGTGTAAAGCAGCGTGCGTGTAGCCCAGGCAGTGGTAACCCTGCTCTGGTGAATCCCTGCTGCTTACCTGGCGTGAGTTTGCTTTCTTGGGGTTTCTGCATCTCCCAATTGGAACAGGAGCTAGCGGTGCCACATGGGCGATGAAGTTTAAAGCCATGCGTTGCTTTATTTTGGGGAAACGTGCTTGCACAGCCATGCTGTGAGGGCGATTCTGTGATTCTGTGGTAATGGGACATGCCTCCTGTAGAGGCGACCACAGTGTTGGTGATGGGCACCCAGGCTGATTCGGTCTGAAAACGGCTTGGCTGTAGCTCAGCTAGTTGCTGCAGATGTGAACTGAGTGAGCTTATGGCTGGCTCTGGTCTCTCTGCAGCGTAAACATGACCTTTTCCTTGGGGTGATACTGCGGAATACAGCTTTTCTGCTTTGTGAAAGAAGGCAGAGGGTAATGTGGTATGTGACGGGGTTATGGAAGCTTGTTGTCGTTTTTTATTTTCCCTGCCCTGTGCTTAGCTGGCTGAAGCAAACCAGGTATGAATGGTGGTACTCAGGACATCATATTTAACTGAAACTTGAAGTTGCTGTGGAGAAAATGACAAGTTAAAGCTTTCCCTACGAGAGCTGCATGTTTCCTGGCAAGAAGAAAAAAAAAAAGAGAGCTGCAACTGGACTGGAGCTGCAGTGCAGCAAGTCTGCCAGTAGCTCGTTGCACATCCTCCTTTTGAGAGGGAGCCCAAAAGGGAGAGCCAGCTCGCCTCTGCGGGCTGTGGGTGCCAAAGGCCTGGTCTCAGCTGGTAGGTGTGAGGTGTTACGGGACGGGGCAGCCGTGCCCTGGCTCCTACTGCAGAGCAGCACGGGCAGGTGACCTCCTTTGGCCTGGAGCTGGGAGGCCCTGCTGCAGCAGCAGGGGTCAGCCAGAAAAATTTTGGGACTTGCTGCCCCATGTGCCTTAGTGGCAAGGAAGGACACGGAAAACTGAGCGTTAATGCCCCGTGGGAAAGGGGAGGGTGATGAATGGGAGGAAGCGCACGGCCCTTGTTGATGTTTTTGCTGCGAGGCTGGTGCTGGATGGGGAGTTTGGGAGGTGCAGCTGCAAGGTTTGGTGTAACGCAGGGACCAGTCCGAAACGTGGCACAGCTCTCAGAAGTCACAGCGGATGGGCTCAGGTGGAAGCAGTAAGAGTGCAAATGGGTGATGTGAAGCACTACACTATTTAATAATAATTTACAAATAAAAATGAGAGTTAGGGTCCCATTCACCACCCTAGTGGAAAGGCAGCATGGGATGGGGATGTGATACACAACTTTGCTCTTGGCCATGACTGCTTCAATCGCTGATGTCCAGTACAGCGTAGGATGGACAGACAACACGTCCTGTATTGCAGTTAGCCTGGTCTCCAGGTCTCAGTATTTCAAAGGATAACAAAATTAATGTTTACCCACAGAAATCTATTTTTTGTGCAAAGAGAGATCACTCGTGCTTGCTGGCGCAGCAGGGAGCAAAACAAATACTGGTTGCCAATCGAGAAGTTCTTTGCTATGTTTTAAAAACTTTAACGTAGGGCAGTCTCTGACCCTGCAGGTTTTTCCAGTTCCCTGAAGCAGCACCATAACTTTTTCCTAGGCTTTCTTAACGTCATAGAGTTGGATCGTGATAGTCGTGATTTTATGCTTTGGGGTAGAGGTGATGTTTTTTGTCACTGTTTCATTAACGCGCTATTTTAACGTGTGCCCTGTGTCTTTCTGTATTTGGTTTAGGTGGCTGCTTAGGTGTAGGACTTAGATTTAAAATCTAAATGCCTTAAAGCTCTCATACCTTTATCTGTGAAACTCTCTGATGTGGTAGGAAGAAGCGTAGACTACAAGTGGGGCAATAAGGTAGGAGAGACAGAGCAATTGCTTGTGATTTTGGGAGAGGGGGGGAGGCCATAGCAGAGGCAGGCAAGAGCCAAATCCCGAGTCAGACCAAGTGAAAAGGTATGTCTGGTAGCTAAGGGGATCCTCCTGCCTTGAAAGTTAATACTCAGAATATTCTTTAGACTGGGATAGTTCTGCCAGCTTCTTATTTTGAGCAAGGTGTAAAACAACAACAACAACAAAAAAAAATAACTCTGTTCTGCTTCTCAGGAAAATACATTTTTTATGCCACGGAAGCAGCGTAGTTGTTAACATACACAAGTGGTATTATTTTTAGTGTCTAAGCAAAACATCCTCCTTTAATTTCTTCTTTCCCTTTTTTTCAAAAGGTTTACACAGGACAAATTGAGAGTTTAAATTCCCTTAATCCAGTGAATTAAATTCCTTTAAAACAATGGCTCGCTGTTTTAAGTCCTGAGTCAGCATCCAAATTGGAAAGCTGTCTAGGAGGCCAGGACAGCTTCTCCTGTCTCATATCTCATGAGGCTGTCTGTTCACAATAACTGCAGCGCCGGGGGAAAGCGTGACAACCCCGGTCACTTTCTGTTTCCCAGCGCAGTCCTTTCTGCAAGGTTGCTCTGCCCTTCTGGTCCTCATTCCAGGTAGGTGACGAGGCCACAAGGGTGGCTTGCGTTTACAGGTTGAGGTTTAACATTTCTCTTTTTACATAATTAGTGGCTCGCGTGTATTTTAGCCTGTCAGGAAACTGCGAGGTGGAAGCGACAGAATTTCTCAATGGCCCTTGCAGCTCTGATAGTGAGAAAGTTGTGATTGCTGTTCTGTGGTGGCTCTTACTCAGTCACAGCTTCAGGAAGTGGCTGACATCTCTGCAGCGCTCTGGCCAACTGCTCGTGGAGATCACTGAAGTTGGGATAAGACCAAATCAGATCCAAGCCTGACTTTATTCTTTACTGCCCTTGTGACTCGTGTCCCGGTCCTTCTTGTTGCCCCTGTTTTGTCACCCGTCTACAGTGGTTCAGTGTCCGTGTACCTTGGACAGTAACTTTGTCACATCTCTTCTTTGCTCAGGCCTTGCAGGTGGGGGTGGAATCATTTACCAAATAACTCAAGACTCTTAGGTGAGTCTTTATTTCATTACATTTTACTTAACACAACGTATATCCGTTGGCTAAACAAATGATACAGGCATTAACCAGGAAACTGTTACCATCTGTCCAGAGAAACCATGTATCACAAACATGCTTTTATTAATTTCAAAAACATGGCTTATTTTCCTTGCAGTTATACTAATGTACTTCCACTGACACTGCAGAGGTTGCTTCTTGTTTACAGCGATGTCAGTGAGAGGACCGGGGGTTTGTGCCTTAAAAGGCTACCTCTTTCAAGCCTGTCAGTATCAGCCCTGAGGATGGAGTTTCTAGATCTGACAGATGTCTTTGAGGTAATTTCCACTCTCCCTGCTCTCCTTAGGGAAAAGTTCCCTCTACATATTCATATTTCCATTCATACATATTCTTCAGGAATACACACCTTCAATTAAATCTTCCCTCTAATAAGATACTTCAAATAAAAACAAAACATCCCTCACCTTTTTAATTGTGTTTTTAGTGATCCATTTTTGCTAAGCTATTGTTAATGCACGGACCCTTCATAATAATAATAATAAAAACTAGATTCTTCTTGAAAATAGTGAAATAACATTGTAAACAATTTTTCTAAACTGTCTATAATGCAGCTTTGTAATACAGCCACTCACTCCTTTCATGTGTATAAAAATGTTGTACTGGAGTACTGTGTGGTTTTGTGTGCTCTCCTTCCCTCTTCCTATGACAGGTAATGCAAGTCTATGCATTTAGCCTCAAAAAATACTTTCTTTAAAAAAAAAAAAAATCTTGTCACGTTTTAAGATTATTTTTAGTGGTTTCAGTATAATTGATGTTCTGATCTCTTTAGGCCATTTTTCTTCAGTGTGAGAACTGAAACTGTGTTGAAATCACACAAGTTGAATAGCCAGAGGTTTCAGGTGAATCTGAGATGTTTGTGAGCGCAAGGGTAGGTGCTAATGTAGTGCCTAGGCTGAAACTGTACCTCTCAATGTGCCTGAACTTCCAGAAGAAAAATGAAAACTTTTCTGCAGCAGGCACAATCCTGTTACCCTGCTCCCGGGGTGGCTGGAGTAGGGCTAGCAGCACTGACTGCACTGTGACATTTCGATCCCAGTGCTCAGGTGTCTTGGCAGTGCGGTGTTAAGATCCCAGTGCCTGATCCTTCCCTAATGCTTTTGCCATTTTAACCAGAGAGAAACAGTTTTTAATCTTTTTTTTCCACTTCTTTTTTAAACTACAGTTAAAATAGTCCAGTGGAAGTACAGCTTTCTATAACAAATGTAAGCCTGCTTTTTCCAGTTGCCATTCACAGACCTGTTAGAAAAGTCCCATTGATCCTTCAGGGTTTTGTATACCAGAGGCTGAAAGCTGCCAGGCCGATGGATATCTGGATGAATCAGCAGGAGACTGCCAGAAATTCTCAGCATTCTCATTCCACTCCCGTTGATCAGATAAAGCCTTTCAGGTCTTGCAGAAACCATTAGGAAAGAATAGACAGAATATTGGTATTTCCTTATTATTCCTGCTACAACTTGCTTTGGCAAGTTTTGACAGGCTTGGTGTTAGACCCGGGCTACGTGAAAGCGTGGCAGGAGAAGCACAGGTAAATACCCTGTTAGTTAGAAAGCATACTTCCACTTCTGTTGCAAAGAAATATTAACTATGTAATGTTTTAATCAGTGTGGTTTTATGTACAGAAAACTGAAATAAGCTTCAAAATGATGTCTCACAGTTTATATATATTTAAGTAAATATATATATATATATATATATAGGTTTTAATTTTTGTTTCCTATAAGGGGATGTCCAGCATATCTAGATCACCTAGTTTAGCAGTGTCATGAATATAATGTGACCGGTAATGTATGTCTGCTTCCTTTTGATGACAATAAAAAGTTAATTTCAGAGTTGCTTATCAGCCCTCAAAGTGCTGTCAGTGAGCCCTGGGTTCTTTGTTTTTCAGAAACTGTTCCAAGTATCTCTATAAAGTGAATAAAAGACCTGAACTGACCCCCCTTCAAAAAGCTGAAATCCCTTCAAACTGAACCCCTCACAGGGTCTTCCCCTTATCTGTCTATCTCTTGTTCAAGATTATTTTAATTAAAAAGGCAGAACTTGAAATTCACTTAATTATTCTGACAAAACAAAACCTCTTCCCAACGTTGGATGTTAATGGAGTTCTAATGGAGGAAATGGTTGCAATGTCTACGTAGGAATACTGCAGTTTCACAGATCATACGGATGTGCTTGGCTTTTCCAGCGTGAGTAACTACATGAAAATCAGCGTGGTGACGATGATGGTGTCATTTTTGTGTACTTTTTATAAGATCAGGACGTCAGGTAGCCTTCAGAAAGCCATCGGGTGAAGGCCCACATCATTCATTAGCTCATTCTTAACACGTCATTCGGCAGTCGCAGGCCATTAAAAATAGATTTTAGGCATGACTTAGGTCAAAAGACAGTTACTTAATTTATAAAAGGTGTAATAGCCTATTGTAAGCGTTCATTTGGCAGGAAGTGGGTTTTAATTTATTTTGTTTACATTTCTAATGTCTACATTACTTATGCCTTTGATTATTCCTGTAATGCTAAATGCCTCCCAGATTAAAAAAACAAGAAAAGGTTTTTGCTCTGACACGTCCTTAAGCTGAATGGATGTGTTTGCTGTCATTACACCTCACGCTTACCTGCCGGCCTCTCCTCTAGCCTGACACTGTGATTAAGTTTTTCGCCTTCCCCGTGTACGTAGCGTTTGCTGCGGAGCAGGAGCGGCTGACATGCTGCAGCTGGGGGTTGTAAATTCAGTCTGTGTGGGGGGTGATTTGAGGGCAGACTCATCAGGGCAAGCTGCTACCCCTGCCACAACCTTCTTTATGTATTTAGGAACAAGGAATTTAAAAAGTTAGCCGGGCTATATAAAAGAGAAGCTGAGGCGCTGTGCTCCTGTGGCTTGACTCTAAGATGCTGTACACTGAAACATGAACGTGTTTATCAAATAATGAATGGTGTTTATGTAGCAATCACTGATTTTTCATTTTGTCGCCTGATGATGACTCTAAAGCCAGTATTAAATAACCAAGAGCATTAAATAACACATCTGTCCTCCAGGCCTCAGCCTGCACTGAGGCCTTGCCCGCGCTCCCGTAGTGCTCCGCAGGAGCTGGGCCCCAGCTGCAGACCGAGGTGCCTCGGGGGTCCTTCCAAGGTTCTCCTTGGGCAGTTTCACAGCAATAGGTTTTTATTTTCCTTCAGCTCAGTAATATTTCTGAGAGAAATTTCATTGGAGTGAAACCACTTCCTGCACTAGCAAGAGGTCTGGATTTTTGTTTGGCTGCTGAAGGGGCTAAACCCGCAATTTTGATCAGTATGCACTTGTCTAGCTTTCAGTCGGTCTCTACTAACACCGACCTTAATGTGACTTGCCAGACTAATTCCTCTGTTAGGTTGGAGTTTGCTTTTCTTGTGGCTGTTTCACTCCTTTGCTTTGGAAAATAAAAACTCGGGGGGAATAAAAAGCCTCACAGGGTCTAGGCAGAAAATCCTGAAGTCTGTGTTCAGGACTGTCCCACCTGATGCGTCAAGTCTAAAACTTTAGTTTGAAAACTGAACATCTAAATCACTATTTTTCCTTTCTAATGCAATGTGATGTTACTATCAATTAGAACGTAATTGTCAGGCATGAGCCTTTTATCAGATTTATTTTGAGCTGCAAAGCAGCATAACAGTTTTAACAAGATGATTAAATAACGCATTGAAGGTTAAACAGTTACGTTTGGGGGTGGTTGAGCCTTTATAGACTTATAAAGTATTTTGTAAATGTATAAATACATGCATTTGTACACAAATAGTGAAAATCTGGGGAAAAGGTATGGATTTGCTAGTAGGTGTAGGTTTAACTGAATTTAGGCCAGCAGACTGTATGGGTAATCACTGCTTCTGAAAATTATACGGCTTCTCTCCCTAAGTATCAGGTGTCATGAGGCTAAATTATAGCTGTGGTTGAAATACCAAATAATTACAACTTGATATGTGAGGTTTGTGAATGAGATTTTTTTTTTCTTGCCAAAGTAAACGAGACGCACGTGCACGTTTTTATCTTGATTTTTCTGTTGTGTGATGTAGATACAAATACAAAGTTGGTATGCTCTAACATTAATCCGTGTGACTTTTTTTTCAGACCCATAAAACATCCTGAATTATTTCACTTGGCAGCCTACTAAATGTTAAAAGCGGAAATAGAAGAAAATACCTGTGTCTCCTAGCTTATTTATACCGGTTATGCCAGGAAGAAAACACTGTGGTTATCACCTGCTGGTCAGGTGTGTGCTTTCCTAACCCTCCTGGTTCATCTGCTGCGTGCTAGAAACTGCACTCCTGAGTTTTGCCTCTCTCTGTGGCAATAGCTGCTCCTATTAAGTATCCAGTCACCTCTCTGCCACTTGCACTGAGACACACAACCTCATCACTTTTTGTGCTGGAGTTTAATTACTCATCCTGCTCATTAATGGCTTTAACTTCTGGCTGTGAGAGACTCCCTGTCTTGAAACAAGAGCTAAAAAGCCAGCTATCAGCCTTGCTGCTGTCCAGGTAGGGGCAACCTACATCTCCGTGTAGGTTGGTGGTACGTGAAGTAGAGCCTTTCTCCTGTACTTGAGAGAATTTAGCCATAAATGTTTTGAGAGAAGTTTAAGGTCCTGGATGCATTTGTGATTTTCTCACTATGTTTCCTGTAAAATTTATCCATTTTGTCTAGGCAACAGCATTCATTTCTCTTGAACAGTCGAACACAAAAATAGCTTCAGTGTGAACTTTTTTGGCAGAAAACGTAACTAACTGTGAACATTGTCTCTCTTTCTCTGAATTAAAATGGAAAAAAATGCACTCTGTTTTTTGAAAAGAGATGAGAATAACGCTTACATGTCAAAATAGGAGGTGGCTGTTCGGGTATACATGGTTCAGTGTGTTTGGTACCAAAATCGTTGTGTCCATTTTTGTAGAAGGTGAGTCCTGGCGCAGAGACCGCGGCGTTTCTGAGCGTTCAGAGCATTGAGCAAATATTTTTTTTTTAAGAAGTGTCTTTTGGAAGAAGTCGCTGGGTGTGTGAAGAGCCACTTTCAAGGCGTAGCGTCCCAGGTGTGTGCTGACATTTGGAGTGGTGTAAGCTCCCAGCGCGGGCCGACTGATCCCTTGCCAGAGTCGTATGAGCACCTTTTTTTTTTTTCTCAAATGCTTCAGTTCAGTGGGAGTTAGGCTGAAACTACAGCAAGTGCTGTGCGTGCTTGGAGCAGTACGGTTTCTGCTTCCACGATGGACCTTGCCCTCTGGGTTGGTAAGGTGCCTGCAGAGATGGAGAGGACACGGCGATGCTGCAGGTGTGTCGTGTTAGTGCCCACATTAACGGGGAGGCAAAACAAATGCCATAGAGGGATGGAGCAAGGCTGGCAGGGGAAGGATGGCAGAGCAGAAGGCTTAAGAGGGACATAAAGCCAAAGGAGAGAAGAGCATCGGGCTGCTGCTTCACTAGTTCCAGCCACTGTAACTCCTCAGTGATTTGTTTGTGCAGTTTGAACCCCGAGGCTCCTTTCCCTTCCTCAGGTCCGATCCAGCAGCAGGGGACCCTGCCAGCTATGCCAGGTCTTTGCTCTTTTTCCCCATGGCAGTAGCTGGTTCTTGCTTCAGCCCCAGCTGTGGCTGCTCCGTCAGCACCCACCTGCTCGCCGTGCTCTTCATTAAAATACTTGTTGCCTTTCCTCTGTGGGAGTGGAGGTGGCACGCTGGTGGATTTAATGTGTAATTAAGCAAGTCTTAAAAGCACTTAGAGAGTCTTCTGGGTGAGAAGTGTTCTGATAAGCGCGAGAGTCTGGTTTCCAAATCCATTATTTCTTGTTGGATTTATTTGTCTTTTTTTTTTTTTGCTTTTTTCAACTTGCTTTCAGCAATTTGGAATTTCTCAGATGATCCCTGTGAAGATCGCTGCGTGCCTTGCAAAGCACTGAACGCCGTTTCTGGTTCTCTTTCAGATGCAAGTATGGACATAATAGCCTATGATGCTTACTCCAGTCCACCGCTTCAGAGATATTGAAAGGAAACCTGAATACCTACAGCCAGAAAAGTGCGTTCCACCTCCTAGCCGCGCTTCCCTGGGAACAATGTGGTTTATTCGAGATGGCTGTGGTATTGCATGTGCTGTCGTCACCTGGATGCTGGTGTTCTACGCCGACTTCGTAGTCCTCCTTGTCATGCTGGTTCCATCGAGAGATTACGTTTATAGTGTCATCAATGGCACGCTGTTCAACACCTTGGCTTTCCTCGCTTTGGCTTCCCATTTCCGAGCTATGCTGACAGATCCAGTAAGTACAGCCCTCTGTGTGTCTGGGAGAGAAAAAGGCAGTGTTTCTCTTATCTGAGAGCTGTTGGGTAACTCGTTTGCTGAGTGAGCGGCAGATTTAAATAACTCGTGCGTGTCAGCCTGCCGAGTGAGGCTGCTGATGTGCTGTGCTAATTCCTCAGCCCACTCAAGTCAGGCGCAAAGTCGAGGACCCAGCTTTAGATTTCCCCTCATGTGAGCAGCTCCTCTCTTCACGCTGAGGAGGAGAGCGTTTCTCTCTGACACTGCTTTCTCACCGATGCCAAATCTCATGTTTGTGGCTTGTTGGGTCTTGACAAACAGCAAAGCAGGAAAAGCTGGTTTTGGTTGTCTGCCTTGTCAAGTGTTGCTCCAGCAGAGGGGAGTAGGGGTGGTGGTGTTTTGAAAAGCCACGCTGCCACCTCTCATGCTGGTGATTTAGTGGAGTTTATTGGACCATGCTAAAACAAATATTATGTGAGTATGCTAAGAGCTGAAAGTTCGTGGGCAGGCAGGGAGCATAAGAATTTGAACAGCCCCTTGTATGTGTCTGTAGGACACTGCCTTATTAGAGATACAGTTTAATGCCATGATGCTTATTCTGAATGGCTTGTATTTATTTTGCTTATCAACCTCTGGACAGGAGATTCAGTTCAAAGCCCCTTCCCCACTAGTCATCGCAAGGAAATACAAGCTTAGACTCCTCTTGACCACTTCCTCCTGATTCTTCTTGTTACTGTTACGAATGGCAGTGGGTGTCTGATACACAAAATACTCATTTCAAATGTAATTTCCCACTTGAAACTGTGCTAGGTGCCATTAAAACTTGACTGTAATCTTTATTTCCCAATTTTCAGCTCTCCCAGAAGCCACAGCACTGCAAAAATGACTTGTTTTGGGGTAGCTTGACAGCTTATGGTAAAGCAGAGGCTGACTTGTTGCATGCTACTGCTGCTGGACACAACTTTGAGCAGTAATTGAGGCACTGAAGCTTCAGGTCATTGGGCTGACAATCACAGGACTGTAGCAATTTAGGATATAGTTTATGTCCTCAGGGTTCTCGTTGTTGCTAATTATTGTATGTTGTGTGGCTTTAATGTTTGGGGACCTTCAGGTCTCTGGAGTTGTTTTGCAGAGTTAAGCAGAAACTCTCGAAACAAAAGCTATATTCTAAAGCAGCCTGGGCAAGCGTGGTGTCAGAGAAACAGATACAATCTCTCTGCAGAGAAATCTGGAAAATACATGTTAATTACCAGCGTGTGGTGGGATTTTTGCGTGTGGATGGAGAGAGCCAGTGGGATTTTGGTTTGTTCTTTGTAGAGATTTTAACGAAGAAATCAGCTAGACAAAATGGAAAAGGGAACGTGAAGAGAGGGGATGGAGGGCATCCACAGGGCAGACGGTGCAAGTCTGGGGTGGAGGAGGCTGCTAGGAAATGGAGAAGCAGAGGCACATCCAGGAGCAGAATGGAGCAGAGAACGCTGCTGAGGCAAACAAATAGGAATTCTTATAATAAATTAATTTAAAACCTGGATTCCTCAGAACTGTTAGCATGCGTCGTGCTTTTCAGGAACTGCTTCCTGTGTGTTCTTGCTAAAAGCATACCTAGGGTTTTGAGTTTTGCTGTGTGCTAAAAAGAGAGGACATTAATGGTAGCGTTTTGTAGAAATTGGTCACGGCAATGTTTAAGTTTGCCAGTCTGTTGAGAGGTTTAAGTGGAAAAATACAAAGACTGCTCAAGAGAACTTTACAATACTGATTTAATGTGCAGTTCTTTTAGTATTCCTGTTTATTGCTGTTGAGAGGTTGTACATGTGCGTTAAAAAGAGTCTATTCCTTCAGAAATCTGTTAAAATGTTAAATCCTTGTGTTTATCTCAGTATAAAATCCTAGATCTACAGAGCTGCATTGTGTCAGTGTACCAGCAATGACTTCATACAGCACATTTTGTGATATTTTTTGCTTTTGTGCAAATTTTATGGCCATAGTAAGGCTGTGGAAACTCTTGAACCTTTTGGAAACTTTTGAAAGTTCATGCTTCTGCAGCAATTATATGTCACTTGTTTAAAGATATTGATTTTAATGTGGCATTTGCACAAATAAGGTTTTATCTGGTCTTATTTGTGGGGAGGATTCTTAGAAAGTGTGCTCTGTTTGAAAGTTAATCCCTGCTTTGAATAACAAATACACGATGGAAGCGTAGCTATTAATACATGAGATGTCTATCAGCAGCTGTTAATGTACGCAATGATACTTCAGAAGTAGCAGCATCTACTGGAATTAAAACATCTGATGTCTCCAGTTTGTGATATGAAACACTGGGATGATAAATCCGTTGATAGATGTGAAGAGAGGGATAAGGATTCTTAAATATTTTAAGGTTACTATGGGATTACAAAAGGTTGATTCCTTAGGTGAGGATTTACTGGTGCTGCTTATGTTTTTTTATTATATTTTTTAAGTGATGTTAAAGTATTTTTGGTTCCATACATTAGGACCTTGTTTTAATTTATTTTTCTTGCTCTTCCTAAAACTCTGCTGATATTAGGGAAGTTTTTATCTCTTTCCCCCCCTTCCAAAATTTTAAGTCATTTCTACTGTTCTGAGCACTCATAATGTCCACAGGTTGATCTTCTGCTTTGTTTTCTTTTTCCACAGGGTGCTGTACCCAAAGGTAATGCAACAAAGGAGTTCATTGAGAGTTTACAGCTAAAGCCAGGACAGGTGGTTTACAAGTGCCCAAAATGTTGTAGCATCAAACCTGACAGAGCACATCACTGCAGGTAAAGTCTGGTCTGAGATTTGCTCTTTGATCAAGTACTGCTGGACCTTAAATATTACACAACGTGCCTGGATCTGAATTATTATGGGAGTGTGAGTGGTTAAATTGAAAGATTAGCATCCAAATTCTGCTGCTGGTAGTGCCAGACACATTTAAACTTCTCTGAAAAAAAAATCTCAGGCCTTTTCTGGGAATTTTTGATGTACAGCAGGCTAGGGCCACCTCTTGCAAAGTGAGAAACACTTTACATGAAGGCTACCTTGGCTTCAGATCTGTGATTGACACTCTGTAAATGTTCTCAATACTGGCTATCATGTAAAAAAGGCTTTAAAAGAGACTTTAAATGTCAAAATGCAGAGAAAGCCATAAAATGTAATGTCTTTGTAAGGTCTCTGTCTTTTTTTTTTTTTTTTTTAACAGACCCATTTGCATAATTGTAATTTCTATTTAGAATTGATATTTAAGTTAAAACTAAAGTTTGGGTAAGTGTGTGTGTGTGTATATATATATATATATATATTTTTTTTTTCAAGAGTTCCTTTTTCCTTGTTTTCTTTGAGTTCTGTGACTTTTTGTGCTTTGTGATAGATCAGTACGGCTACTGATCTGTCACGTCCTTTCTTTTTCTGGTAGGATAAACTTCTCTGAAGAGAGTAACTGGTAGTGAGCTTTTTAGTACTAAAGGCAGTAAGCAAAAAAACAAAAACAAACTAACAAAAAACCTACTTCCTCCACTTTTCTGCTCTTAAAACAAGCAAACTTGCTTTCCAGTAAGTAGTTAAGGAAGGGATACCAGTGCAAACCCATTATCTACCCAAAAACCAACGCATACTGCAAGAGGTTTACACGTGGTTACTGCTGATTCAGGCAAGGGTCTTGTGTGGAGGGGAGTACATGGTGCCGAGCTGTTTGTGTTTTTCACATCTCTTCTCAGAGCTTTAGTTTGCAAATTTGTTGTTATTGGCTTTTTATTTTAATCCAAATTGGGAGCTGGTTATTCAGTAGGAGCAACGTGATCGTGCCTATCACTTATTAATGCTACTGTAAAATCCCCTCTGACAGTTCTTCAATTATGAATGAAACTTCACATCTAAAATGCTGTCTTGCTGATGACTCACAGCATGGGCAAATGAAAAAAAAAAAAAAAAAGACTGGCTGAACACAAAACCTCGTCTCCACAGACCTCTTTTTTTGTGCACTTTAAGTTAATTTTACAGATGCTAAGATTTGGGAAACTGATCCACTGAGCCGGTCTGATGCTGCTGAGGATCTTCAGTCAAACATTTCCTGTGGGGTAGGGAGATTTTCACACACCAAGGTCGTGCAGGTGCATCAGCAGGAGGTATTGCTTGAGGGACCTCGAAGCTTGAAGCTCCTTCCAGCATTTGGAAGCCTCCTCTCAGCCTTCGTTAGCTTCATGAGCTCCTTGGTTTGGCTGCTTCAGGCTGGCCCTCAGGGGAGCTAGGGCCTAGGAGCAACCGGAGGGATTGCGTTGGTACCCAGCCTGCTGCAGAGCCCCAGGGAAGCGTGTATGCACGTGCAGAAAAATGCAGACTAAATTAGACTACAGGGAGGCATCGTCCTGCTTTACACCACCTGCCTCCCTCTCTCCCCCTGCCTTTTTCCCTTTTGTATTTATTTATTTTCCAGAACAAATAATTGATACTTGTCCTGTATCAGGCAGAATGCTTTGTTTTTACAACACCAGCTGATTTCAGTTCACGTGTTTGTCAAAAATCACTTCAGGATGCTTATTCTAACAAAACGAGGCTTTTCCTTGTTGTCCAACGCATCTGGGGCCAGCAGGTAGCCAGGTACCTGTGCCTGCCCGAGGAGAAGCAGCCCTTGGCCTGGCCACCTGGTGAGATGCTGCTCCTGCCTGGCCAGCCTTCCCTTTATTATCAGGACTCGTTTGTTGTTCAGGCCTGGCAAGTATCCTTGGGGATTTACTCCTCCTGCAACGCAGGCGAGCGCAAGGCTGCTCCGAGAGAGAGGTTTTTCATTATTTATTCATACGCGCTCATAACAACATGCTTATGTTCTTATTTCAGGCTCTCTGCAGTTTGTGGGTGTTGTTTATTGTTTCTATTCAGGTTCAACTATTTCTAATTCTAAGGAGAAAAATGGAAAAATTAGCACAGCCCTTAATTCTTTCTGTGTTAGAGGTGCCAGAATTGTTCTGGGCTTGCTATTGCTGTTTCCTTTCTGGGCCTATTGTTTGTTTGGTTTGGGGCTTCGTTTTTTGTTTTGTTTTGTTTTTTTCATATTTGATTTCTGTGCTTGTTTGTGCAATGTGGTATCAGGAGACTGCCTTTTGGCTCCTATCATATGAGGGAGCAGCAGAGAAAAAGACTTCTTTTATTATGTGAGTTGAAGCAGTTACTGACTAACCAGGAGAATGATGTTCAGACAAAGTAATAGCCTTTTAATTATTTGACTTCAAGCCACAGTGTGCACGCTGGCAAGAATTTGAATTTTGATTTTTTTATTAGTGTGGTTTTATGAAGTACTTCAACATCTGATTTTACCTTGAACGTATATTGTGGTGCTGTCTTCCTGACCGACTGCCACGGCTGGTTTGTGCCAGTGTGTGGCTTTTCTGGATGCCAGGAGCCCTTTGTAATGTTTGTGTTCATTTTGTTTTTCACAAGTTCCTGCTACAAGCCAGTGATAGCAAATAAACCTGAATCTGTTATTAGCAATTCTGGAAAATATCTTTATTCATTACTGCTTTTCATATCTATGCGTTGTGTGTTTTTTTGGGGTTAGATTTTAATCTGTGGGAATTTTCAGAGGCTGACGAGGTTAAAACTAGACTAAAATACAGATTTCTTCCATCTGCCCAAGTCTAACCATATTTTGGCAGAACGACTGATAATGTGTCTTGGCATTAACTTTTTGCAGTGTTCATTTGGTATGGTATGGTTGATTTTGACCAGACATAGTCGAGTGAACAAACCAGAAATATTAATGTGCTGACTAGTAAATATATTGAGGTTCAAATCTCACTTCTGATCCTTTCCTTTCATTTCTGCGTGTTCGTAAAATGTGTGTGAAATCTTGTGTTCCTGGAATGAGCAGTGCTATAAATAAGAATCTCTGTTCTTTCAGTGTTTGCAAGAGGTGTATTCGGAAAATGGACCATCACTGCCCGTGGGTCAATAACTGTGTAGGAGAGAATAACCAGAAGTACTTTGTACTGTTTACAGTAAGTATTTCACAAGTGGTGGTAGAGGTTGTCCAATGTGCAGCAACGAAATGCCGCGTGTCAAAGCAGCTCCAAAAGCTGCCTTTCCTTCCTTTCCTGTTCCAGAAGAGCTGTTCAGGGAACTCCTGCAGACTTGTATTTTACTAATTAGGGAACACACACAGTTCAGCGACCGGGAGAAGGCAGAACAGGAAGCGTTTGCCAGGGTTTCGTGAGGTTTGTGTTGTCATTTGACTGGCATGCTGCTCCATAATTCAAGCAGTTTGTCGTGATGTTGAGCCCTTTGAGGCATGGGCCATCCTTTTACACTGCACGGTGTCTGGTAGGGTCCTAGTCCGTATGTAGGGTACCTAAATGTTGTACCTGCATGAGTACTGTGTGGGATCATATAATAACAGCTGGTGTCGCATCTTAAGCAAGGAGTAGGAAAGGATTATCCAATTTCTGCTTGCGAGCAGTTTATTTCCGTATTTAAAAACCAAGGAGGTGTTTGACTTTTTGTACTATAAGTGTGGCTTAATGAGTAAGAAAGCAGGAGTGCAGACTTTAATACTCCATATTTATGGAAGGGTTGAAGTCTGTTCATCAAAGCAAACTGCAAATATCCCGTGGGAGTAGTGCGAACGTGGCGAGGCTGAGTTTCAGTGATGCCCTGTTTTATTAATACATCTTTGGAGAAATCTGTAGGCTTGAGGAAGAATGTTCACAAATTAACAAGTAGAAAGGGAGAAATTTTCAGTTAAATGAAAGCCTTGCTCTTAAACTCATCGTAGAAAAACTTATTTTCTATACCGTGGTTTGTTGGGGTGTGGATTACAGAACAAAATGAATTCTTTGCCCTGAGCAAGGATTTGTTTCACTGTGAGGAACGAGCTGGATGTTTTAATCCCATCAAAAGGTTTGCTGTTTCTGTTGAAACTGACGTTGCTTTCAAGTGGGCTGTGTTAAACAATTAATGTAGCTGAGAAAGAAACCAAATTTTGTTTTTGTTTAGTCTTTTGGTTTTGATTTTCTTCACTTTAAGACCTGGGGAGGTGAAAGTGTGGCAGCACCTCAATTTCCAAGGAAAGACACTGTCAGCTTTTCCTGCTTCCACATCCAGTATCTCACGACTCTGTTGTCAGTCTGCAGGTCCAGGAAAGCCTTTTTTTAGTCTGTCTTGGAAAATTGTACAATGTATGTGTAGTACTGCAAATAGTTTTAAAGCACTTTGTTGCAAAGATGTGACAGGATTTTTTTTTAAATGGATTAAGTACAAAGTGTTAATGCGTGACAGAAATTTTCCATGCTAGTGTCGGCCTCAGAGAAAAACACTTATTTAAATAAATAATTTTTTTTTAAAAAACACTCTTTTTTTCTAGCTAATGCTGGGAAATAGATAATGTGCTTATTGTGGCTAAAACAACTTCGCTGTTGTTTCGCTGGTAAACTGCAGTGCTCTCTGGCTTGAGAGCACAGGCGTAAGCTTCAACAACACGATACCTCCATGCCAGAGTTGCTGACCTCTGAAAGTTGTGCTGTACGCAGCGGAGACGAGGCCAGTAGGCAGCATGGAGGCCACACTGAGGCGCAGGAGGCTGGGATTTGTGTCCAGCTGGCTTTGAATTAAACACTCTTCTTCGTGTGCACTCAGAGCTGTTAGTAGGGCCAGAATGAGTTCTGTGTAGCCTTGGCATTTGCCAGCTGCAGGGTGCTTGATTTAAGGGGTGGGGGCTGTTGATTTTTTTTTACTTATTATTTTAGGGTCATTTTAACTCTTTAACACTCCGCTTTATCTGAAGTGGTTGGAACATTTAACATTTTGTTCTTTGAGCTTTGCCTGATGCCTGTATTACATCCTTTGCTTTTCAGATGTATATAGCACTGATCTCCCTGCATGCTCTGATTATGGTGGGATTTCACTTCTTGTATTGCTTTGAAGAAGACTGGACAAGTGAGTACTAACAAAGTATCTCATTAAAATACCACACTTGCCTATGAAAAAGACCTTATAATGCAGTTTGCACATAAGGCTACCCCCTTTGTGCTGATTTTAGAAGAATGCTACCAAGGCTCTGCTATGCGATCTTTGCTTTTTTAATTATCAGTCCTGGAACTTCATAACTCTTTCTGACCTGCTCGGATCTCTGTCCTGAAAAGGCCTCTTTCAACTTAAGGCTGATACTGCCTGAGGAGAAGCTGAGATGTAAAGACTCCTAGACAGTATGTGCAGTAAGCTACTGTTTACGTGAATGCAGCACTGATGTGCTGAATGCCAAAGCAAGATAAGAAGAATGTGTATGCTCTTTTTAAAAGGGTAAAGTGAATCATTCTTGCAAGACTGCCAGGAAAACATGTTAACTCGGTTCCAAAAATCCACCCTCACAAGAACAAACAATTCCTTTCCACAAAAAAAATACCAACAACAACCAAAATAAACTACCAGCCCTCATTCTGGAGCAGCCAGTGAGTAAATTTTCACATAAATGTTTGAGATACATTTTTTAAAAATGTGGTCATGGGAAATCCTCTAGGTAATGCTGAGTCAAAGAGCCAGGTGCCAAAGGATGTCGGTGCAGATTTGTGTGCTGCTTGCAGATTTTTTTGGAAGGGCATTAGCTTTGTTTTTCTTAGAATTTCATTTGTGTTGCTCAATATAAGGACTGGTTTTAGCTTATAGTACTGCAGAGGATGGGTACGTTTACACATACAAGGTGAATTTGACAGGGCTGTTGGGCAGGTCAAAACTTTGGCCAAGAGCTGCCAAATGACTCTGAGAATGTCTGGATTTGACCATAGTGGAAGGACCCATCAAAAGAGAGTTTCCTTTGTACCCTTTCTCCAAGCATGTATCTGTGAGGGAAGCACTTTTCCACCTGTTCCAGGTTTAGGTGACAGAGCAGAGCATATACAAGAGGTGGATGGATCTGTTGTTCCAGCTGCCTTGGATATATGCTGACGGTGTTAGCTCTTGATTGTTGAGTATCTGTTGAAGCTTAACGTCTTCCAATGGGAAAAACTTTTTTTTTTGGTGATGCTTACTCTTTGATTTCAGAGCAGACTAGGAGTGTCCCAACACAACATTCAACAAAACACTAGGGTTTTTGATCTATAACATCCTTCTCCCTTTTCCATTCTTCTTTTCCTCAGTTATAGGCTTCTTTTCAGACTCTTTCAGCTCTCACTTCAGTTTGTTATGAGGTTGCACTATAGGTAGAGTGTAAGGAAAAGATAAGAACTTGGATAGGAATATACTTTTAAGTTATGATTTAGAGAAGTAAGAAAAGGAAGCCTGTGTTGTTTTTATGTTGGTGCTGCTCAAACAATCATCCTTGTGTCCCAACAAGTAGCTTGAGATTTCTAATGGGATTTTGTTATTACGAAAAATCCTGGAAGATGAAACTGCAGGTGAAAGAGTACAGGAGTAGAGTGAACTCCTGGAGAGAGTGTGGGAAAACACCGAACTGGAAAAGAAAGTTGCATTCCTGAAGTGTCACAGGGTTTTTTTGTTGTTGTTTTTGCTTTTGTTTTTGTTTTGTTTTTGCTTTTTTGTTTAACTTGTAGGAGCGATCATGTCATTGTTGCATATCCTCAGCAATGTCTGAGCTTCCCTCTGCACCTTTTTGAGTATGGTCATGATATAATTTATTTTGACAACTTTTAGTATGGAAAACTTGTGGCGTAGCAGGTGTTTTGCAGCTGCTACGTTACCCAATCTCTCCCCTTCCAACTTGATTGTTTTGTCTTCACAGAATGCAGCTCCTTCTCTCCACCAACCACGGTGATACTCCTCATCCTCTTGTGTTTCGAGGCTCTCCTATTTCTCATCTTCACCTCAGTTATGTTTGGGACCCAAGTACACTCCATCTGCACTGACGAAACGGTGGGTGTCTCGTGCACTTCCCTTTACCCTCTCTCTTACCATTAGCAGAAACGGTGAAGCTTTACAGGGTTTTACCTCGTTGCACGGGGAGCTCGTGTGTACCCTCTGAGGAGAAACTCTGATGTAATCAAAGAGCACAGTGGTAGGTGGTGCTGTCTGAAAGTCACTGTGAGAAGTAGTATACACCCGTGTTTTTGTTGGCTGGGATTTGTGTTGACAGTACCTCCAATAAGGTAGGCATTGGAAACCGGGTTTATTCCGTACAGAGTACTTGTTCATGTGGGTTTGAGAATGTTTTTCCCTTCATGAAATGCTACCAGGTTGGTGTCCTTTTACATTTTGGTGTGTGTCCCCAGGTGTCACTGTTTGCAGCTTTAAGTGCTAGAAAATGTTCTGGTTTAACTGCTTGCTAAGTAGTTCAAAAACCCTTGCCAGGGGAGGAATAAAAAAGGGTGGGGTGGGGTGGAGAGGTTCCTGGAAGTGTGGTGGGTAAAATCAGCTGCAAAACCACCCTGTCACCCCAATTTGAGTACAGCATCGTAGAGCTGACACACAAACGTTGCTGTCCCTCCTCTATCACTGCGTTTGCCTGCTTCTGTAAAGATGGAGCTGGTGACTCCTGGTGACATTCCCACACGTGAATACTGCTGGCGTTCACCAAGCACGCTCAGATACGTGATAGCTCAGACCAAGAGACTGGAATTAATGAGTGGTTGAAGAGAAATGATGATTTTAAAAGAGTGACAAGAGTCCCCTGCTTCATCTAGTTTTCCCTAGCCTCCACTTGTTTGCCCGTGGCCAGTTGCAGCTAGAACAGGTATTTTTGCTGCCACTGGAGAGCCCTGGCTGGCATTGTACAGTGTAAGAGCCCATCGCTTCTGAGTCTTTTTTACAGTGCTCGTTTTTCTGCCTGGCTTCTGCAAGAGGCTGATAGTCACACTGTGGCTTTTCCGTGTTCAGAGGAGCTATTCTTTCTGCTGGCGAGACCCTCAGAACGAAGTAAAGTGTCATAAAGGAATGATGAGATCCTGCCAAGCTTACATTTATCAATAAGTGTTTAAGCTAGCAGTGCTGTCTGTGAAACCATCTGAATTTCTCCAGCTTTGAAACCTGGCAGGAATTTTTAGAAGCTGCTTCCAATAGCCAGGTACACAAATAATTATTTCCCTTCCCATCAAATTCTGGAAACTCTTAGGTATTGGAGGACGTAAGCCACAAACAAAAAACGAAAGATGGACACTCACTATTTGGTTGTGTTTTTTGTTTGTTTTTTCCCCCCTAAATAGTTACCAGTAAGGATTTTGCTCTTTGGAAACTTCTGTGCTCTCTGCAATACTTCACACTGTTGATTTTGCTAGCATAGAGCTAGCTGTGTCTGGCAAACAATCTGTTCCGAGTGGAGGAGTTTTTCCAGGTGAAATTCTTCCTGGTGTGGTCTCTCTCAGTGTTTTATTTCACATTTGCAAGACCGGGCTGTGCTGTGCCTTTTCTCACCTTCTTCCAGCCACTGGGAGACCTCATTCCCCATCCTGTGTACGCTGTCCCTCCGGGATGGTTCCTTTCTGCCTGAGGGGACCCAAAACCCTCCGATTTTGCTGTTACCCCTGGAGGTGACATTACCAAGGGTCAGCGCAGCTCCTGCAGTTGACTGTGCTGTTACTGCGGAGCGCACGGAGCCGGTAATTTGAGACACACAGATACATTAATCCCTAGCCCAGGAGAGCCATGTAGGTCAGGAGAAGCTTACCTTGCAAAAGATCGTAGGTTACAGAACGCTGTGAGCTGCCTGCTGCTGCTACCCACGGAAGAGTAATGCTCTCCTGTGTCTGCAGTGGTTAATTTTGTGTGGCAGCCAGGCGTAGCCTTCCTGGAAGACCCAGCTCACTTTCTGGGTTTTAGACGTGATACAGATTTGTTTTTTTTTGTTTGTTTTTAATGACTGACTAGTGAATGTTCCAGCTGATTGCTTGATGGCTTGTTTTTGTTTCCCCTCTAACCTTTACTAAACAATGCCAATGGTTTCTCTCAAATTGGTATCTTATTTAACCTTTTCTCCCTGCTGTCAGCCCATGCATGTTTTGGCAGTGATTTTAATGAAACGTGAAGAGGCACCAGGTAGACTCAGCCACGTTGAGCCATGGGCACTTCCTGAACTTGCTTGGTGAATCTGGGAGCATTATAGAGATTATCTCATTGTTTTTTTTTGTCTGCAAGCTTATAATGGTTTCCTCTAAAATCTTCCCATCTGGTTAGCACATATTGCTTTCAGCCATTAAAGCACATGATTTGTATTTGGTTTTATGTGGTGGGTTTTTAATTGACATCAGAGGCAATTGGAGGGCAAGTCTTAAAAGGTTTGATGAAATTTCCAGACCTGAACAAAATTAAAGCAATTCTATTTCCAAGAAATATTTTTTTTCAAGTATCAAACAATGAGAAGAAAGGGAGAGGCTCTATAAATGCAATTTTATTTTCTTACTCCATCCTTTGGATAAGGGGTAATTGAGAGTAGAGCTTTCCACAAACCCAGAAGTACAAAAGCTGAGCGTTTGACTGAAAATGTGATATTTCTGTTTTCAGGGAATAGAACAGTTGAAAAAGGAAGAGAGAAGATGGGCTAAAAAAACAAAATGGATGAACATGAAAGCAGTATTTGGCCATCCGTTCTCTATAGCATGGCTTAGCCCATTCGCAACACCAGACCAAGGAAAAGCAGACCCGTACCAGTATGTGGTCTGAGGAATTCCTGACCAGCATTTCCACTAAGATAGAAACATATTACAGCACTACTGTTATAAATTTTCCATGAATGTTTAAAAGAAAAAGCAAAACGAACTTTTTTTTATGTCTATTGAATGGCTGATAATTGCAGAGAAAAAAAAGCCCTGTATTCCACAATTTTAGATAATTCTATATCTCTGGCTGAAACTGCTGCTGTTGCTTTTTCTTTTTCTATTTTTAATTTCTTTTTTTTCTTTTTTTTTTAATTTCTTTAATCTTGTTAACTTTACTGGCCTTTGTTTCTCTCTGCTTTCTGTATGGCATAACTAATGTGGAGGGGATCCTCTTTCTCTGTTGTGACCCACCTCTTCTGAATAGATTCTCATGCTGTCTCCTGACTGTGATGAGCTCTGTGGAAGACATACGAGTGCCAACAGTCCTACACAGACACGTTTGGACTTCCTGAAGGAGCGCGTCGCTCTTTCATAAGTGAACTTGAACTGGGAAGTAGACACTTCACTTTATCAAAAGGTGCGAGACGAGAACACGACACAGCAAGAGAGCCAGTTGACCTGGTGATCACACACAGTTGAAGTATTTCAAACAAATGTTGCCAAGACCACTTTTTCCCCTCCCTTTTTCCTTCCAGCCTCGGAATTGGTTCCATCTTTCTGGCATTATTTTGTCTTTTCCCTCCCTCGTGCACAGGAAGTTGTTGCCGTCTTAGGGTAACTGTGGCAGATTAGGAAGATTGTTTGGATTTCTTTAAATGCCTTACATTTGCAGGAAAGAAAGAAAGAGATCTAATTTCCAAGTGTTTAGAGTAGCAGGAGCATCTTGTTTGTGTGTGTTTGTCTTGGTACATGAGTCGTTAGAGCAATGCCTGCTAAACAGTGTTAACGTGAAAAACTGATGTGAATGCTCAGAGGCAGACAGATTACTATGAAGACTAATATGGACAGGATGTGTAGGTATACCAGGGCGACGGAGCCTATATTCTTAGCACTGCCCTGGTTTTAGAGCTTTGTAAATCTTGTTTCTCACATTTACGCATACATGTGTATGTGTGCAACTACACACACATCGGCGGATGTACGTTAAATTGGGAAATGCTGACGGCAAGGAGCATGCTTGCTGTTATCAACCGTGTGGTGATGAAGGTGGGAGGGGCAGAAGGCATTCCAGAAACGGGTAAAGCGAAGCCATTTGTAACTGCAACGGGCAGCTTGTGTTCAGGTAGGAATTTTATTATATTTTTGGACCGTGACTCCCATAGGCTCATCAGAATATTGCGAACAAAGGAGGAAATGCAAATCGGCTGTGTCCGTGAATTCCAAGGAATCTTTTCTTTCCTTGGTTTAAATAAAATCATATTTTTGAAAGATGAGCTGTTTAGATTGCTTCAAAGCCATGGGGGAAGGGAGGGAAATCAGGGAAGGAGAAATTTAGTGGATGTCTCATTTTGGAAGTAATGTGAATGCTGCATCTTTTCAATCTGTCAATGCTTCCATATGGAAAACAAATGCAATAAAACTTTTCCAAAAAAAATGTTTGCTGTTCTTATGTTCTTTCTTTGCTTTAAACTTTTGGGGAATCTGTAATGGCTTTCTGAACTTTCACTTTTGGCTTTAGCCACTTAGATAGGTGAGAAACTAATGCATCTCACGGTGTGGTTCATTGCTTTAAAATTGTGTTGAAACATTCTGGTTTTGTTATATTTACCCTTCTTTACTGTGTATTTTGGAGGAAGATTGGTTGTGTGCTGGCATTGATGTTGTTGTGGAAAAAATGTAATTACTCATTGTTTCGAACAAATGCAAAGTGTTGTATGCTACGACATTGATATTTTCAGTGAGGCATCATCACAGCTTGCCGAAATGTCCTCTGGTGCCTGTTGTGTGTATCCCAGTGACCGGGGGCCTTCTGTTTTATTTGCACTGTGTGATTTGGCGGTGAGATTGGATGCAATTGGAATGATACAAACTGGGGGTCGGTATCAACATGAGAAAGGCAGACTTCCTGGCTTGTATTTTCTCGGACAGGACTTCCTGACTCCAGGTGCTGGTTCTGCTGTAGCATGGCCAAGAGAAACTGGAGGACAGACTCGATGAGAGGCAGAGCACTTCTGTGGGAGACGTGACTTTGCCCATTCATTACAGCAGGCAAAGCTGGGAGCTGGAGAAATCCCAGAGTGCAAATAAGCTGCTTAACTGATCCTATGTCCTGCGAGAACAATGCTGCGTAGGCTGTGGCGGTTTCTTTTCCAAACTGGCAATTCCTAAATCATGGCCATGTTTTTCTTCTTTTTTTGTTTGCCCTTTCCTTCTGGATGTTACAAGTGTATTAAAGGAGCCTAAACCATTTCTCCTAACACGTGGGAGCTGTCCTGCACACCGCTGCTCCCGCTGGCAAGCGGTCAGGTCTTCAACTCTTGTGCATTCCTTCCTTCCCCTCTAAATTTTATTTTTAAAGCCAAAACCTGGTTACAATTTTGGTGACTCCAGATTATTTTTTTTAAGGTAAATTACACAGTGTTGCAGGTAAAACAACAAGTTACTGATTACGATTTTTTTTTTCCCACCAGTCCCTATCTCTGCTTGCACATCGCAAATCAAACTTGGATATCCTGGAAACCTTTCTTTATCTTTCCCTCCCTTCCCGTAACCTTCCTCACGCCCTGCCGCCTGTGGGGCGGGCAGCCAGGATGGGAACAGGATATGATTTTTACAGGTTTTGCTCATTTTGAATGCGTGCCCTGAAGGGATTAATGAGGTTGGGCAAGAAGAGAGAAAGTACACCCCTAGCCACTCCGATTACCTGCTCCCTAAGCTGGCATTAGTGCAGCCTCAGGCTGACCCTGCTTATCGCCTTGATTAGCAGATGCTAGCCAGAGTGGGCGAATTATGTTTTTGTTTTTGTTTTTTTTGGGGGGTGGAAGAGAGGGGCTGCTGCCAAGAAGCCTTAAAGATCCTTATTCCCGATTTAGATGGCAGCATGGATCGAACTGGATTACACGTGTGTGACTGAAGGCAGGATTAAAGCTTGGGCTGCTGGGGAAGAGCTCGAGCGCCTGCTGTCTGCTCCTTCTTCTGCCCCGTGCTGCTCATTTTCCTCCTCTCCAGCAGCTCACACAGCGAATGCTGCAGCCGTGGTTTGTTTCCAACACGTTAGCATCCTCTCTGGCTTGTGAAAGAGCAGCTGAGGACCAAAGTCATTCCTCTGCTTAAGCAGCAATCGAGTCTTCCTCCCCGCTCCAAAGTCAGCAGGGAAAATGCGGCACGAACAACGTTTGCAAAAGCTTTGCATTTAATTTCGCTGGTTACGGCGCTTTTTCTCCTGGGCCTGCTCCTGCACACTCAGTGTTACTGCAAAACCGAGCTGCTGCTTTATTAAAATGTCGTGTTATTTACAGGGCTTGCTGTGAGCCCAGTCATGGAGTATTGCATGTAGGGTTGGTTTTTTTGCCTTTTTTTTTTTTTTTTTAAACCCTGCAAAAGTTTTTGAAACGATGGTGGGTGCTTAAAGACAACCTGCAGAATTAGAACACGTGTGGTTTTCATCCGTCTATTCTAAAATGCTGGTGTAAATGGTTTTAACTCAACTCAACATGCTCATTTTTCCTTAAATTTCTCAAAGCCTCGATCCAGTACCCTTGCTTCTCGAAGAGCAAAGTTTCTGCGTTGTCACCTGCATCATACCACGCTCACCTGTAAAGCTGGCTCCTCTCTTGTGTGATGGAGAAGATGGGTGTGCAAACGTGTGCTCTGCTTCACCTGGGGTAGCCTTAAAAAAAACGAAGTGTTACAAGTTCCTTAGTTCTACATAGAGAAGACTACCAGAAATAAAATGTCAGCACCAAAATATGATGGACCCGGTCATTTAAAGACAAAACGTGTACTCTAGTGATGTTCTTGAAGAGAGGAGGAGTTGGAGCTGGCTGACCAAGCCTCCTTGGGAATGACCAAATTGCTGTTCCTGCTTTGACGTCGATGTAGGTTTCCTCGCGTCCCAGTGGGTATCAGCTTTGCACTGCGATTCACCTGGGACAGTTTGCTAGATAGAAATTGTGTTCCTAAATATTCGCTCTTAATCGGTGCAAGGTAAGCTTGTTGTCATGTCAGCTTCTAGTGCTGAGCCTAGATTTGGACGTAGTAAATTCCTGGTGACTGGAAAAAGCTGCGCTGTTTTGCCTGTATCTGAACTCCTGGAGAAAAAAAATGCACCTTGAAATTTCACCTTTTTTACTTCACTACTTGCTGAAGGGATTCAAAAAGCAGAGATCCAGGTATGGGAGAAGAGATCCAAGTATGAAAAAGGAGTAGTTTTTAGAAGCCATCTTTTCACCATAAAAACTAGCACCAACATATACCCAAATAATTCAGCGGGATTTGGATTCTCCATGAACTGGGTTGTGTTTAAGGGATTTGTTGTTAAATAGAAGGCTGAAGCCATCGGTAAATGAGGATGTCTGTCTTGTTAGCTGAACTGTGAACACCCCGTGCAGTGGTTGTTGCCCAAATGCTTGCTTTGAACGTCAAACAACCCTAAACTTTTCTCTTCTTGCAGGGTATTGAGCGTCTTAAAAACCAGAAGCCCACCTGGGAGAAGATCAGCGGCTGGGAAGGGATGAGGGCGGCCTTCGGCGGTGCTTTCTCCTTGGCGTGGCTCAGTCCTTTCTCAAATCTGGACTGCAAGAGCCAGCCGCCAGCTGGGGTGGAGGCAGCAGCCCCCGCATCCGCGATCATGACCCAAGAAGAAATCGAGCAGTTCCTGGCTCGCGACGTCGCCATCCAGGTGTTACGTGAATAAGCAAAGCATCCTTGGAGGTGTCCAGGGACGGTTTCAGGTCCTTTTGTTTTAATAGCTACTCGCACTGGAGAGAGGTAGGGTGGGTTTTCGGTTGGTCGGTTTGTTTTTAATGTACTTCGGGTGCAGAAAATAATTCGGGAGTATTTATCGGGAAGCCAGGGCCGGCACTAGCAGAAGCAGTGCAAATCTCCAGCCAAAGCTTTATAAACGGGGAGATTCATAAGCTCCTCTCTCCTGACCCGTGTCGCCTGCTGTATTGAGCACTTCTAACGTGGCCTTTAAGGAAAGCTGCCAGCGTGGTCCCAGAAGGTGCATCCCGGGGGGTCTGCGAGCCCTTGTGTCCTTCAGAGGCTGCGTGAGAAGCGTGGTGTGTAGGCCGCGTTACTCGGCTCTGAAGGTTTTGCTAAAAACACCTCCTTTTGAGCTCAGCCTGTGGACACCAGCTCTGGACTGTGAAGGATGCTGGAGTTTGGGCTCCTGGCAGAGGTCGGGTGCTGGGTTTTGGGAACACTGGGGCTGTTCCTGCACTCACGGAGCTATCTGCACCCCACCGTGCTGCTGGGCTTGCTCTGCTTACGCCTCTTCTTCCTTCTCTGGGTAGCCAGAGGTAGCTGGCAACGAGCATTGCCTCTTAATCCTTCCTCTAACGTTGTCCTGTCAGTGTTTGCTGCTAATCAGGGGCTCCTTAAGCTAATTTCGCAGCCAGCTCCTGGTGGACGGTGTCAGCACGGAGGAGGACCTCGTGTCGCCCAAGGAGGATGCTGCTGCAGGTGGCAGTGGTCACGGCAGGAGCATGTGGGGACCACAAACTGCACACTCTGGGCACCAGTTACAGCAGCTTTATATTTAGAGTATTATTCTGTTGGTTGTTGTGTTGTTTTCTTCTTCACGTCATCTCCCTCATCTTAATTAGCAGGGAATTTTGCAGGGTACCAGGGAGACGTGCTCCTGGGTTTCCACCACGGGCTGTGCTTGGCTTCGAGCCCCCCGCCCCAGAACGTGGAACAAAGACGATTGCTTCCTCTAGAAAAAAAGATAAAAGAGGCAGGGAGGGATTGTGGGAGACTTGGGTTAAGTTTCTGTTATTTATTGAAGCAATACCAGGTGGGATTTCTGCAAGATTTTATTTTATTTTTTTTCATGACAGTGATAAAGGAGCTTTGGGGATGAAAATGTGGTAACAAACAGAGCCTGATGACTGTTAGGAGCACAGTTTGGGTGCAAACCAGGAAAAAAAAAAAAAAAGATATTTGCAAACAAGAGCATTAATGGGACATGAGGGACATACACAGATCTGTACGGGATTTCCTATAGGGATGTTTAAGGAGGACACTAAGACTGGCTCATGTTTCCTCATTTTGGCTTGCTGCTCAGCCTCTGCCTGCCCCCTCTGAGCTTCTCTGCCCCTGCTGCCCTACCCATGGGGTGGGAATGGTGCTGCGGGGTCCTGCAGGAGAAACGAGGTCGTGGCTGGACACCAGCAGCTTTGGGAGCAGAGCACTTGGAGGTAATTTGATGGCTACATCCGAGGTGTGACTGCTGGGGCGGGCTGAGGGCCTCAGTTTGGGGAAAATTGCCTTGTGCCATGTCTGGGTGATGCTCCTCGGGTGCTGCTCTCATTGCTTTGGGTGGACGCGGGTTGAGGCGGCGTGTTTTGGCCTCTGCTCTCCAGGCTGGTGCACCCCGTCGTGTCCCACCTCCTGCATCGCTCCTCAGGTGCTGGCATTTCCTTGTTTTGTTTTGTTTTTCTTTATTTTTTAATAACTGAAACTGGAAAGCAGCATGACGTGAGGGGTGAGGCTGCCCCCCTCCTCCCCCTACACCCTCCCACATTTTCATCCCAGCCAAGGGGCAGGAGCTGGAAACCTTCCAGCATCAGGAACCCAGAGTATTTCCTTCACATCCTCACTCTACCTCCTGCCCTGCCTCGACACAGCGTGGCAAACGTTGGGGAAGTGGCAGAAGCCTTCAGGAGATGGAGAAACGTCCTTTATTGCTGGCTCTGCCACAGATCTCACACCTTAATTCCCACCCGCCTGCTCGAGACCAAATGTGATTTCCGTGAAATTGAAACCAAATCCCTGGTTCCCCTCCCCTTCCCTTTGCGTGCCTGTTGCCCCCCGTGCCGTGGTGCCTTCGCCTCCAGCCCTGTGTGTGGTGGCTGCCCCAGGGGCCCTCGAGGATGCTCCCCCCAGTGAAGGCCCCGTGGTGAGGGCACCTGCCTGGGCTGGGGCTCCTGCTGCTGCTCCGGGGTGAGGATTTCCTCCGTGGTGGGACAGGGTCGTGGTGGCTGTGGGAAGCCTTCCTCTACTCTGGTGTCTTCCACAGCAGGTTTTTCTATGCAAGTTGAGCACTTACATCTCTTGGAAATGTATGTATTTTGGTAATTGTAACTCCTGTTTTATGCCTCTGGGGGCTAAGTGTACTTATTATTAAAGAATTAACACTTCCACCCATTGTGTGCCTCCCTTCCCTATGCTCTGCTCCAGGTCCCACTCGCACCATACCTGGGGGAAACTCGGGGGGGGGGACATAGGGGATGCTGGGGGCTGTGTTGCTGCTGTTGCTCCCCAAATCTTTGCAATCCAAGGGCATGAACAAAGCCTTTTTATTTTTTTTTTTTAATTGTTATTATTTTTAAACTTTTTCCTCCTCCCTTTTTTCCTGGGGTTCATGTTAGGGTTATGGGTTGTACCTTTCCATGGGGCCGGATCCTGGCATGCCCTTGGGTGCAAAGTAGGGGGGCTGCCTGGTGCTTGGCTTTGGCTGCTTGCTAGTCAACAGCCGCCTTGTTTACTTGGCTAAATGAGGAGATTTCAAAGCAGAGAGCTGAGAGGCCCAGGGGAAAGCTTAGGTCTTAATGCAAAACATATTTCATCTCGTTGCAAGATGGGATGGGGATGAACGGGTCCTGTGCCACGTTCTCCCCACGGGCAGCACCCCCTTTGCTGCACCCACCCTGCGTGGGCAGCCTGGCTGCATCGCCCTTTCTTTTTCCTGCTGCGCAGCCCTAAGGCTCGAGCATTTGCTTTTTAAGATGCATAAATAATAAGCCTCTGCTACTGCGTGGCTCCGTTTGCTCTTTTCTCACAGAAATACTGAAACCTCCCTTATCTGAGCTCCGAGCTCAGGGGGTGTGTGCGGCTCCAGCTGTGCACAGCTGCTGTCGCCTTCCCTGCGGTGGCTGGAAGTGCTCCAGATGTGCGCTGCCCTCCTGTCCCCCAGCACTGTTTGGGGTGGGAGGGGAGAAGCAGAGGTGATACACTTCCACCAGAGCTCTGGTAATGGTGTTGGGGATGGTACTTCTTCCAAAAATCTCCCGGTCCCACTTCTTCCCCACCCCTCCCCCAAATAAAGGAAATGGAAGTGGGTGGGAGGGGAGGAAGATGCATGACAAATGGTGTTTGGGGAAGACTCTGCCAGGTTTCCTCCTTTTGCTGTCTGAAGCATTTGCCAGTGGGGTGGGAGAAGCATGGCCCAGGGGAGAATTGCTTAAAATGTTTCTTAAGCCCTGGTGCAGTGGGGTCTGGGCAGCCTGGTGGGCCCACAGCAGCTGCAAAACACCCCCCTGCTCCAGCACAGATATCAGCCACGCAGTCAGTATGTCGATTTCAATGATCTTTATTGAATCACAGTGAGCTGCAATCAAAGCAGCTATGCCCTTTATGTCAGCGTAATTCCCTTCACTTAATGGGATTTTTGCTCTTTGCTCATCAAGCGCTATCCCGCAATCAAGGAGGCAAGCGGCGGCAGCGGAGCGCGGCTGTGGCACATCCAGGGTCCCCTTCTGTCCCTGCTGAGGCACTGCTCCTAGTGGGTGATGGTGATGGCCTTCTCCACTGAAATCGTTTTGACCTGGTTTGAGGTCAGCTTGGCCACGATTTTCTTCTCTCCTGCTCTCGTCGGAGTGCAGATTACTTCGGACTTAATGATCCTACCAGGCTGTACATCCCTAAGGAGAAAGGAAAGTGGTCCCAGCATGAGCTGCTTGCACATCACGGGTCTCATTAGCCAATTTCTCATGGTTTGCCTTAAAGAAAAAGCCACTGTCTGTGCTTAGCATGGGTCTGCCCCTTTTCCCATGACCAAAGTGCAGTGAGCGGGGCTTGGCACGGTGGCACTGCCTGGTGGCCCTGGCAGCCTACAGAGACCTCCCCTAGGCTGTGAGCCCCTGGTACTATTTTGGACATGGCTTTGAAGGGCTACATTGCATGAAGTCCCTAACTGATTTGTCAAGGGAAAGTTAAAGATGAGCAGAAAAGGGCGTTCTGCCATGCTCATCAGCTGCGTGGGGCTCAGGACTGCTCCAAGCCTCTCCTTACCCTTCCTCGAACGTTGCCATCTTAAACATGCCCAAGCCCTCCACCATCAGCTTGCAGTTATCCAGGGGCACGTTCAGCTTGTTCTTGAAGATGAAGGCGCAGGTGAAGTCCTTGTTCAACTTCGCTGTTTCTGGCATCTGACAGAAGAGGAAAAGAGGTGTTAAGGACGCCAGAGCTGCTGCCGGTTCGCTCTGCCAAGGCAGGGTGTTTTCTGCACAACCCCCTTGATTTTGGAGCACCCGTGCAACGGAGCTGGTGTAGCCCCAGGAGACCAGTCTGCATCGGCGTCATGGGAGGGGACATGGGTGCCTCCTGAAACTGCTGCCCAGTTTCATCGCATTTTCCCTGCCGTTTCGGGACTTTTGCCCGGGATGCCAGCAGAGCTGAGACCCTAATCCCAGCTGAGTCTTGGGTTTGCTGCCTCACCTGGACCTGGATGGGGGGGTACTCGAAGCTCAGTGCTGCCTCCTTGGTCAGCTTCTCGGGTGTCCCCTGGATCTCGGCGATGGCGGTGACGTGGACGTGCTCTTCGTCTTCCGCTGCAGCCAGTGCCTTCATGTATGCATCAGGCTTGATCTTCAGAGGGACGCGCACCTCTGTGGGAGGGAGAACGTGACTTTATCACTCTTTATGGCACCCAGGAACCCATGGTAGGGTTGGCACTGGTGGCAGTGCCTGGAGGAACACAGGACAAAGCACGTTTCCTGAGGCCACCCTGCTCCTGGCCGGGCAGCCAGCAGGTAATGCCCTGCACATCCCATCTCCCCAAAGCAAATGCTGGCTCAGGCTCGCTCAGAAAGCACCAGCAGCAAAGATTTTTTTAATATTTTTTTTTTCCAAGGGTGACTCATGCTTGGAATGAGCAAGTGTTGTTAATTATTCATCGCTCGTTAGTGTCTTCTTTGGCACATCGCAGTCACACTGCTGGGGATCAGCAATACAACCCAGGTTGCTCCAAGATACGCAACAAGCAGCAAACAGCCCCGGGGGGACCGGGCGGGCAGGCAGCCCTTCAACTGGAGTTTGCTTGGGTAAAGAATTCAGGAAATGCCACTCACTAGCGTCACAGTCAGCTCATCGACATTACAGCAGCATGACCAAGGAAGTAAAATAAAAAAAAATAATTAAAGAGAAAAAAAAAGGCTGAGATATTCAGCTGTCCAAATCCTGTGCTGGGGTCTCTGCTGCTTGATGCTCAGGCAGTGAGAACTGCGTGGTGCACGCCTCACCCGCACAGTGCAGGTGTCTGTCTGACCACACTGATGGTTTCTAATCATTGCAGAGCCTTTGAGTTTTGAACCCTTCTGCAATGGGATCACAGTTTGTAACTAAGACTCCCAAATGCAGCTGCAAGAGAGGCAGGTGACAGGCAGGCAATTTCTGCTCTTTGTGCAGCTGAGCCATGTGCTGACCTATAGTTATGCATTGGCTCGAGTGAAACCCCAGACTGTCACATTAAATAACCTATAAAACATATCACAATACCCATGCCTACCGGATTTGCCTTCCAGCTTGACGGTCTCGTTGATATATCCAAGGCTGGCATCAACTTTCCCAGTGTAGGACTGCAGCTGGCAGGAGCCAGTAAGAGCAACGGTCCAGCTCCCAGCAGCAGTGCTCTTCACTGTGACGACCACTTCGATGGGTTCACCAGGATACAAAGGTTTTTCGTTGGTTATCGCAAGCTCGACCCCGCTCTTGGGGACCACCTCTTCTTGGACAACAGCCCTGCCATCCACGTTGTCTAAGCCCATAGACATGGTACGCATCGCACCAAAACCTGAACGAGGTACCAGCCCTGAAGGTTGTAGGTAGGAAGTCGCTTTCTGCATGGATGCCCTTTCCTGTGGGCTGCCTGGGTGAAGGAAAAAAGCTGTTTGAGAGCTGTATCCCAGTACCCTCAGCCAGAACCACCTTCCCTTCCCTTGATTCATGCTTCTGCTGCTGAGCAGTCTGGGCACCAACCACCTCCAGCTTCAGCTCAGGACACCCCCTTTGTTTATGTCACCACTGGTAGCATTTTGGACCAGTGAGCATCTGGAAAAATTTTCCCCAAGGAAGTCACTTTTAAAGGCTCGATGCTCCTTAAATTTTCTAGCCTGAGATGTTCCCACTCCTCAAGGGGAAGGGTTTAATAGTCCATATGAAAGCTATGGACTTGTAGTTATGGGAACATAAAAGGGAAGGGTTCAGTAATCCAGCATGGCTGGATCTGAGGCAGGGAGAACCATGGGGAGGGAGTTATCAACATCTTTTTTTTTCCAATACGTTGTGGGGAATGGAAAGGAAAAAAGGAAAGAAAGAAGCTGCAGTGTGTCAGACCACCAGGTTTGTCACTCAGCCCCTCTCTCCCACAAGCCTGCAGGCTTGCCTGCCCCTGTCCCCAACGAGCAGCCTATAGATGTCACTGCAGCCATGAAGATGCCTGGGAGCAGAGCTGCCTCCCTGGCTCTCCATCCCTGATGGGGTGGGTTTGACACAGCAGATGCGTTGTGGGGTGACCCACGCAGCCAGGGACCTCCTCAGCACTGCTTTGGGGGATGGGGGCAGTCACCTTCAGGGAACTTGTACTGCTGGGTGATGTCTTCCCGACGGTTCTGCCCCACGGCTTTTGTGCTGATGTTGGCGCCGATGCTCTGGCTCTCCACGTTCAGCTTGACGTACTTCCTGCTGCCGTTCTCCTCCTTGACAAGCCAGTAGACTTTGTCGCCGTTCACTTCGGCGTACACAAACTTGCTGTCGTAGGGCAAATACACCTCCCCATCTCGGATAGCCTTCAGTGGGCACGGGCCGCACTGGAAAATACCTAAAAATCACATTCAACACCATTTGCCTTGTCGAACATGAGCAGAGCCTCCAACTTTTATTCTACCATCCTGAGAAGGGTTATGTGGCCAGTTTTAGTAGCAAATACTCCTTCAACCCAGCTATAAAGCCCAAATTCCCCTACAATAGCTGTCTGGTATTTATTTTATAGAGGAACAAAGTCTGGTAAGAGCTTTTACATGTTTTCCACCCCTTAAATCATCTGGGGTGCTTTTGCCAAGGCTGGGCTCCCTTCCCTGCCCTAGGTACTGGCTGATTTTGTCAGGTCCAAACTCACTCAGCCCACTCAATGTCAATGCACCCA